AAGAAGCCCATCTAAGAGTAAACCATTACCAGGATCTACCTAAAATCGTCCTGGCTTCAAAGTAGTGGCATGGTGGAAGATCTCCTTCTGATCCACAAGAGCGGCGACCATCTGTGATGGCGACTACCTGGAGCGGACCTCCGCCTAGCTGACCTCGAGACTTCAGGGAACCACAATGGTTAAACTGGCAAAACTCCCAAGCAGAACGTTAAAAAACGTTGTAGGTTTGTAGGTAGGTTGTAGAAGCATTATAGGTCTGACCTTAATATCCTGACACGTCCCACCGTAATAACTGAACTGTCCATTTTCTTTCGAATTGAGGGATAGGAATAAGAATGTTTCTTCCTTGACTGATGTCATTGGAAATGTTGTACAAAAGCTATCGATCTCCTCTCTATGCATGTACGTTTTTATAACAATAGACAGCGTAACATCCATTGATCTAATTCACTGAACGATTAGCATTCGGTTAGTGATGAGGTTGAATGCAGAGAACCCGAATAGAGGGTGAAGCAATAAATGTAATTTTCTTCATTTAATTGGTTGCTTGAATGGCACGTGTTCACTGGTGGTGTGGGCCCCACCACAATTTCCATTCATTTCTCTCTCGCGTAGTCCTCACCGGTAGTTATAGTCTACTTCAAATATGGAGCAGTCCTCGAGGTCTACTCCTAACTCCTAAAATCGTTTCTACCCTTAAATGCATATGGTTGACGTTAGCAGCGAAGATCTCTACCCATCATTTAGATGGTTGTCCAAGAAGGTGGATGCATTCTCTTGGAGTCCATTCCACTGTTCTCTCCGTCCATCTCTCACCTGTTCTTCTTATCACGTGAGCGGCCTATCTGTGTTTTCGGTCAATGCATGTTCTCCTAAAATCCGAAGATCTAACAGCTTACGAATTTCTCAGTTACTCACATCGGCTCGAAATTGTGAGTGCATTTTGAATTTCAGAAGGCGTCGCTCAAGCGCTCTGTGGATACGCTTAGAAATCTCACTGTTGTTGAAGCATCAGCCCACATCTCTGCTGCATAAAAAAGAGCTAAAAGGACTGTTGAATAAAAAAAATGAGCGAGGAGTTCGGCTCCACAAGGTGGTCGGTGGTTCCTTGGGAGGCCCAAAGAAAGCTCCTGGTACTTTTCCTTTCTTTTTTAATACCTCCTTCATGTTGTTCCACATGTTTTTTGAACGTCCGCGGTAGATACACAGACCATACTGGCTATCTATTTCAATTTCTTTGCCATCGCACCATGAAATTTTTTCTGCATGAAATTGGGTTTGCTTGTATTTACTCGCAGTCAAATCTTTTGACCCGCCTAGCTCAGCACATTTAGCGTCTTCTCTGTTTCACCGATAATACTCGAAAAGATGACGGTGCTATCATCAAAACTCCGATTGCTCTCGAGCGGTATTCCTAGCAATGGCTCGATGCGACAACGAACTTCCACATCGCATCAACGACCAGCTGTGGAAAATGTTGTGACTCGGATCAAAGTGTCTCTATGAAAGGCGAAGGCGCTGGAACGTTAGCAGAAGAAAAATTTCGTACTCGCCTCTTGTCAGCTCAGTCATAAAAACAATTGTTGCTGTGTAATGAAAGTTAATTTTAAGATATTAAGTCCCATCTTCTTTCATAAGCGCTGGTGGCGGAACATTATAGTGACCAAGATCCTGGTAGCACTTTTTCAGACTAGGTCGTTTTGAGATGTTTCCAACAACGTTTTCTACTCATGACGATGCAACTCATCCTCAGAGGTCTTTGACATAGTAGTTTTAATACTAGCACTGTTAGATGTGTTGCAGCTGTATTAAACTTCACTTTTCTTCCTTTTCTGAGCAACCTCTCTGAGGTAATGGAGATGCTTTCCGAACTTCTTGTTTGAGGAGCTTAGGCGAGAGCAAATCAAATCAGTCGGGTCTCCCATTAAGTGGTGCTCATATAAGCACAGGATTTCATTGGGAATGTTTTCGTCATACATAACTTGTCTTGCTCTTCTTGAACAAAGATAAGTTTTTTTCACGCTTATGGGCGAATCGAATCTTCCCACGGAGAAGGCGTTATTTGTTTGCAGTACAGAGCAATGGAACAGCGAAGGTATCAAAGCGGAACCCTCCTTTTTCTTGAGAATCTGGTTCATCTCTTAGTGAACCATGCAGTTAGAATCCTTCCATGTCCATCGGCTGTTTTCTGTCCTCTCGAGAGATCGATCCCCATGGAACAAATATTTCGTAGAAAGCGGTATTGGAAGACGGTTTCCACTCCTATATCGAAGTCTTATTCAGAATTTTCGTAATCTGTATTCAGTTTAGTTGGCCCTTCATAAGCCAACGCTAAAGTTTCCAATAACAAATTCACAAAAGTTTTCATTTCGGATTACTTCATATTTAATGCGGATTTGTGCTACCCAGATCGATCCGCTGGTAAATGATTGCCTATAAAACATAGCTGAGAGAAAGGCGAAACGAAAGAAACGCATGGTGCGGTGGTGAACGCGTCAGCCATCGAAAAGGAAAATAGCGTTTTCGACCTCCCACCGCAGACATTCGCGGTCCGGCGTTCTGCAAATATCTCAGCACCGCTCAGATTATTCCCACCAGCAGGATATAGAACACAACAAAATCTCTCTCATCAGCTACAAGAGTTGGTAATTAGCAGTTCGTGATACTGATTTTCCTTTGACGGGTAGTTGGAGACAAAAAGTGGCCAACGGTGATAGGATCTCGTATGAAGTAACCCGATAAGAAGTAGATGGGTGTATCGCAAAGCCATCGCCTCTGAAATTTCGTAATGGAACTTTTTTTTCAACAAATGACAAGGGTCTTATCATCTAATTAGCATATGTCCGTCTTCTTGCTTCACAAATGTTATATGTTAAAGCCAAGTAACAAGAACATCCTTGTTCATTTCCTTTCTTCCCACCCTTCACACACAAAGAAGGCGATTGTGAGAAACACGTTTCGAACAGACCTTTGTGTATCCGTATAAAAGAACACCTAGACGGCAAACGAAAACTAAGACGAAGCACCCCACTAGGCACGCATAGGATACAAAAGAATAGCGGAGACGATTTTGAAGTAAAAGTCAATATCCTTGCATAGGAGTCCAAAACACTAGCGCGAAAACTCCTAGAGGCATCAGTAAAGTGTAACCATAAATATAAACATAGAATGAATAAAGAGCACAACTGATTCAAGATAGGCGAAAATTCTCTCCTGGACTTCTTAAATGCACGACACTATCAGAAACAATCTGGTCTTGAGTCGGGATTACAGTCACTAACCACGTAGGATTTCTGACATCTCGAAGCTCATATCCACAAGCATTGCTATGCAAACAGAATTCAATGGTTTAAAAACAGCTAATAATAGGCTTCTAAGAGCCAGCCGCAGCGAGAAAATTGAGCGAGGGAAGTCATCGAGGTAGAAACTGGCCACACTGGACTTTGATTCAACTTATATTTTGAACGAGGTACCCGTCGGCTTAGTAACATGTGAAGTCATCAGAATACCCAAAAATATACATAAAACACATAAGACTCTAAAACAACACCCTCAAGTGATGTTATTTATTACGTACAAAATGAAGGAAGCAAGGCTTGGCAAAGAATAATACAGAAACTTTGGAAAACACTGGATTTACTCTGCATCTTGATCACTGGCTTTCCAGTAAAATGTGCAAGCTCTAGAGCTAACCATGGTTAATGTTCTGTCTAGATTTCCTGGTCACCATTCCATCGGTTCCCACGTAGTGAAAAACGTCACATAACAAGAGTAGATGGTATATTTGCCAAGGGTGGATAATTTTCCGGAGAGGTACGTACACTCTACGATACCTTTGTGATTTATAGAGGAAATAACAGCCCCCAAAGTTGGTGCTCTTTCCTCTTTTTAAAAAACGTGCACGCACATTCACATCTTATGTTCTTCTAAAATCAACATGAGGGACGGAGTTAAACCACACTCGACGTGAAGAGATAGCTAGACTCTCAGTTGTGTGTGTACTAACCTCGACACTCACGACAATACATTTGAGAACTCTCAATTAAATAAGTTCTCGTTGATAGACTCAGACGCTCCCTACACCCGAATGCACTTGTTCGCATTCTGTGGAGTACTTAACAAAAATCAGATTGTAGCAGTTCGTCACATGTGATGCAGAAAAAAAAATTCCTCATCAGTTAACAGAACGCTGACCTGTGTACGCAAATCTGTGCAAAAGAAACGGACTCCTCGAGAAAGTTGAACAAAATCTACTATACAATATTTGGTGTACGGAATACAGAGAAAAAAAATTCAACGGTTGCAACTCGGTCGCAAAAGCACGAGGACAATCGGCTGACACAGAAGAGAAAGCATCGTTATGCGTATCGTTGCGAGAAATCTCCAGCTCCAATATTCAAGCGCCTCCGACTTTCATGAAAATAGTTGGTATTAAATCTTCAAGCACCAGATACTTCACTTCCAAAACATCATCTAACAACTAAACTATCAATTATTAACAGGCAGTGATTCTAAATAAAAAGCAACAATTAAGCTGAGAACAGCAGGTTACAATAGTGATTAGGCGGAAAACGATGTAGCACCCTAACAGAGACGCAAACATAAGATTTCTACAGTGGACCATAGAGCATGGTGTGACCGTGAACGTTTACGACTCAGATTGTGGTGATTTCGAAGCAACGGCGGAAATACACTCAACCGGAGACATTCGTGATCGACGCACCACAATCAGAAGCGTCAAATTCATGAAAGATTTATTCTACATCAAAATGGAGACATAAGAAGGCGTGCTGTCTAAGCCAAGCGCCATAAACGATTCATGACAGGCAAAGACTTAATGATCTTACTCTTCGTGTTTTTCCCTTTCTTCTTTTTCACTGAGTATTCGGTCACAAAGCAATATAGTTAACAATAAAGCAGCTTCACATTATTTAAGAATTATTTGAGAAAACATCAACTAATTGGATCACGAAGATGCAACGAACATAAGGATTACAGTATTATTCGACCGAGAATTCACTGTTCTCCTCTGAGCACTGCTGACAGGTCTCGTTCAGTGCTCGTAGCCATGCTTCGAGCAGCTCACTGGAATCCGCACGCAGCAGTACACTGCAAGAAAAACCAAAAACTGTAGACCAAGCAATAGAAAGGTTCCAAATAAAGATTTCAGAGGAAGAAGTGTTGCTTTTCACAGAAACTGTGGAACTGTTACAATAGTCGAATATATCGTCTTATCTTTTCTATTTCATTCAGAATTTTGTAACACCATACACATGCTAACAACAGTTCGTCCAGAAAAGAATAACTTTTATGGTGAATAACATCATTCAGATCCATAAACACAGTTAGCTTTTTTAAAGGACCCGGCAGCACAAGTTGGGCAGTTCTAAGCGCTTTCGTTCTATTCTTTTCTCTCATTCATCACCAACGAAGGTCTTTGCTCGAAGATCCATCTGCTTAGGAATTTTGGCTTTCCTTTTAAATGCTGCTCCAGCAGATTCTCATCGAAATCCGAGCACCTTCCTGCATGGATGTCTCCCACATCTCCACCAGAGATAATCTGCCACCTTTATTCAGCTGAGTGAGTTCTTAACAAATTTAATACCACAGCTTCTACCTACTAATTAATTTTTCACGTTAGTGTACAATGTAAACTACAACCAAAAGGATGCTGATACATGGGCAGAACTCGGAACACCAGGTGTTCTTCGAACCTGTGACCACCATTTTCAGAAGCTCACGACTTATCCACTGCATCAAACGGTGCCCTTGCTTTGCCTTTCTCTCAGCCAGTTTTTAATCCTAACGGTTCAACACCTGACGTTCCAAGTTTTTCTCATATCTCACCATCCTTGTGGTTGTATTTCACACAGTTCCCCGCCATCAAAAAGAAATTAACAAAAAATAAAAGTTAAAACATTGTGACTTTGGCTGCAGCCTCAACTTAAAGGGATTCTTAAAGTGGGGGCTTAAAGGGTTCGATCCTGGACAATGCTCGCCAGATTATTCTCGTTGGATACTTTTTGCTGATAGCATCATTAGGGTAAAAAAAAGAGGCTGAGAGAAAAGCAACTCAAAGGCATTGGTTGATGGAGTGGATACAGTGAACCAATGGAAAGGGTAATGCCGAAATCTGGTATCAATCTCCAGGTCTCAGAGGGAATTCGGTGCTTGCTAAGCTCGGTGCGGGATCAAAAAAAGAGGCCTCGTGCATCCTGAATGCAACGACTACCATAGCGCTTCTCACACTGGATCGTTGTCGGTTACATAAGGCAACTCTTTGGAAACCGTTAGATAAAGTTTTCATAGGAACAAAAACGTAAATGCGAGTGCCCGTAAGCCGAAGTCTGGAATATTGCTAAATAGGCACGGACGTTAAAAAGCAATTATAAATGGACCTATTCACGTTAATCCATTGTGGGCCTCGATGATACGAGGACAAGAGGCTACAGGTTTAGCCGTAGAAACTGCAGTTCTGCGAAAGTCAACAGCTGCATTTGCGATAAAATTCAAACGGCTTTCCGGAAACTTTAGCACATGAGCAGACTTCGTTCTCATGAAATGTTGGCTATGTTATCTCATACAGCAAAAACAGACTGTTGTCGCTGAATACTGAAGACGTTCGAACGCAAGACTTAAACAGTGGTTGGACGGATTCCTACAAACATGAAACGATGCATGACATCTACGTGACAATTGAACTAAGAACACTTAGCTACTACACCTTCAGAACCTCACTAGCAGGATTATCCAGAATAATTAACTGCTAAAGATTATACCTTTCAAAACACTAAATTTAGGCCTAATTGACTCATTAAAAGGTGACTGCCTTTCAGTGCATACCGTCGTTTACTCCGGCAATAACAAATTTCTCACCATGATTAGGTTCTCGCCGTCAGAAATATCTGCTTAAATGAACTGTTATATTCGATATCGTCATCGTTCCACGTAACTCTTGAGAAACTAGCCGCGGCGGAATGCGAAATGCCGGCAACGCCGAAATGAGATTCATCTCACACCGCAACAGATCAAGGCGTTCACGAGCCAATAATAGTGTGCGTTGGGCAGCAACCTAGAAATTGCAAATTAGCTAGGCGTTCCTGGGTGTCGGACTGCAATGTACAGCGGGGTGATTTGTTCAACCGGGAGGGTCTCCTAAGCTGGGAGGGAATACGGTGTTTCCAGCAGGAAGCCTAGCTAAGAGTAAATCATTACAGGGTCCACTACCGTCTTGGTATCAAAGTCGTGCCAAAGGTAAATCACCCTCTGGTCCACAAGGGCTGCGAATGCGTGTCGCGGTGACAGCATGGGGCAGACTTTGGCCAGGCCGTTCTTGGGATTCCAGGAAACCACAATGGCTTAACAAGCAAATCAAGAAAAATGGTGATTGTGCTGGGGCCCACACAAGTAGTGATAATGGGCCGTTCAAGTATCAAGTAAGTAAGTAAGTATCAATACTTTTATAGGCCTTAACATCAGTACGAATCAACGTGATATTCGCGTGCTTCTTTGTACAAATGGAAGAGTGGACATTTTTGCAGCAGGAGTTCGGAATATCAGTAGGCTTGGAGTGAACGTAGTGTTGGTGAATCAACAGTGCGAAAATGGTTCCCGAAATTCCGATATGGTGATTTAGACCTCGAATTTAAGGCCGCGGACGTCCCAATAAACTTGATGACGACAAATTAATGGTACTAAAGAAATAAAAAGAAAGGATAAAGCTCTCGGCGTTGATCGATCTCTGAGAGATGCGCCATGCATTCAACTTCATTAAGTATCGCTGGAGGTGAATGAATGCATTTCTGGCCTTTACAATGACTCGCGGTGGTCCACCGATTTAACAAGCTAGTGCTGCTATCCATCTAGACAAGTTTGGCACCAATTTGCAGACCCCGAATGGATGGAAGACTTGGTGGGCTATGGGCGCGGGGATCGATTCCACGTATGTACCGCAGCTGCTCACGATTCCGATCAATTCCCAAATGATCAGCAGTGCTCATGGAAAGTAAGCATTACGTTCTGACTTAACTGTTCAACAAATCTCTAGCATTTTATCATACACTATACGACCAAAAACCTACTGAGTGTTTAAGAGGGTAGTCAGAACAAGGCTGTTTGAGCGAATAGATGCTACAGGACATAGAGAGCTGCGAGGTATTCGGGAAAAACTCCGGAAGATGGCTGACGCCGTCGTCTCGAACGGTTTGAGCATCGCCATGCTTCGGCACCGAAATTTTCCGCTCTGGGAATGTTTCGCATCCAACTGTGTCCAGATCATCACGTTCCTGCAACAAAAACACACAGTCGAAAGATTATACGGCTTCGTTTACAGAGTTGATTCCATTTCAGTTAGTCAACAATTGATATAGAGCGCCATTTAATACGTGGGGGGAATCCAAGGACGATATAACTCAATAACATTCGTTGTTCCCATTTCTTTCTCATGAAAAACCGCAACTGGTAGTCATATATTGTTGTATAATCCCGAAAACCGTGCAGTTACTTACCTCAATGAACTCGAATAGTCGATCAATTTCGGCATCTACCTTCTCTTGCTCAATTTCATTGCAACAACGCGTGGAATGTGATTCCTTGAATAGTCAAAAAATACGTACTTCACCAAAACTATTATATTTCGCTTGAAAAGCTATGCGTATTGATAATTCCCAGGTTCCAAAGTGGCTCATAGCTCGAAAGAAAAACTCTAAGTGACAAGGAGACCTTGCAGATAATTTCTATAAAATTTTTCGACAAATATTTTCCCTAAAAATAACCACTGTGGGTGTTGATATCGTGAAATGGATGGAGAAGCGAAAACCAAGGCTGTAATTAAGCAAAAGGATGTTTGCGCCCCAAAGATAAGTCTCAACAAGAAGTGTCACAAAGCGTTGAAGATCTCGGTAAGAGCATAAGTTCGCTATTTACAGAGTGAATGACGTATACGAAAAAGGTTTGTTACTACCTGATAACTGGTAGTGGATTGATGCTGGTTTGCACTAAAGTAATGCTCTCTTGCATAGCTGAGTCCAACACAGTAGAGCTAAACACAGACTATGAAAAAAGGCGATGGGTCCAAGCAATCTGGAAATTGGCTAAGAAGATCCTGTAATTAAAGGTGAAAGTAGAGGTGTCTGATAGTTTATGATTTGAAGGAAAACATGCTATAAATTCAAAGTCTACGCTGGCACTATCACACACTACGCTACACTAAAATGAGCACAATAGACGAACACTACTGCGACACTGTTGTCCATCAGGCGATTGTCTGTGCTGGAATGAAGAAGCACTTTGAGTACTGTTTCGATGTGATAAGGATAGTCTGAAATATCTACAACATACCACAGGTGAATTAACAATCTACAGAGAAACTTATTACAAACGGTTCCGATAATAATACCATATCGCAAAAAAAAGTAAATTTCTGCCTAATAGTATAAACCACCGCTGTAACTAATACAGAAATCAACAACATAATATTTAGCACTTTCTGGATTGAAAAGCTAAAAGAAACCATCAACAAGTGGTTAAGGGATTTCAAAATTAAAGAGGTTAAAACAGTGTACCTTTGAGGTGACGGTGCCTCTTTGAGTGGTGCCGGTTGCTCACAGTGACTACCGGGTTCGTCAAGCGTGCGTTTTTCTCGGTTTTCATTGTGGATATCAACGCGACTATTATGCTCAGAAAAATGAGTACTTCCGTTAAACGCACTGGAAAATAAAAACCAAAGAAACTTCACATCAAAGAATGGATAAAATATGAGGGATGTACCTTCCTGCATATTTGCTATCTAGGATAGCAGAGATATTCGGAGAGTCTATCGAAGGCAAATGACCAAAAGCATTCGATAGATCACCTAAGTTTGAAAATTTAAGATAGGGACGACCTGAAACGCAACTTTACCTACGTTTCGACTTTTTTTTTCTTTTTGAAATCGACATAAAAGCGAACTTTGTCGCGACACCTAACTCATTTCCGACACCCTTTTTCCATGTTGAAAATGAAAAATTGAGAGGAAGTATTTGCGAGCTTAAAAAAAGAAAGGAAACCTCATTGATACCATTGCTCGATAACTATGAGGATCAAATGCAGTACATTTGAAGCTCACAATTCTTTTTGGCTACCATCGGCTCTATATCCGTCTTCGGAGTTTGCGATGATTCGGGTCGAATGTCCCCAGTTTCTATTTTTCTGACATTGTGAATCATCGAAGCTGGACCCACACATTCCTGGAGACACCTATTTCTCAGGTATTACATACTTGCTAGTCTTTTGGCAATGAACGGTAATTTTTCGATAACTAGAAGGTAACAGTCAATCAACAGTCAAATTACCGGTCAACGAACTCGTCCGAAAAAAAAGCTTCCTGTAAATTATTAAGTGGAAAGAACAACCTTACATAAGTCTTGCCTAACACTACTATGTAGGATGAACTCTCAATTGAGTAGAGAAAGTGCGGCAAGAAAAGCTTTGTGCAGAAAAATACAAAGCTGAAAAGAACCTGAGTAAGATAAAATACAGTTCGGATATCGTATTAGGTGAAATGGGATAGCATGGAACATCATAAAAATAGAGTAAATACCCTATATGTTACCTTTTTATGTCGGGTAGTTCTTAACTAATTTTTCACTGGATTATTTATTTCCATGAAAACAACCCATCCTGCAATAATTGCAGTGCAAACTTATTTAACAACATCATATAGGCTTCCTAGCATCGATCATCCACAAATGCCTTCAAACTTTTCGTGTGTGGGTTCAGTTGTTGCTTAAAAAATTTACAACTAAGTTATGAATGCCGATGAAGACTGGTCGATTCGCCTCTCCCTCGAGTCCTGTGATAGTCGTAGTGAGGCGTTGTCAAGTGGAAATGAGTGAGTGATCTTATTCCAAATAGGTCTGCTAGCAATTTCGCGGGCCCAGAGAGAAGAGGGGCACAGTGTTGGGTCGAACCAACGCTTAGGTGCATTAGGTCGTCCTTATAATGAACTGCATCATTATCACCGCCTGCCCACACCCATCTGTAGCGTGCTACTCTCAGCAGTGTTCGCTCTATAAGACCTTGAAGACTAGCAAATCGGAAAGGAATAACAGATGTGCACATGAATCTGTTAGGAAGGCGATGAAAGCGAAACACTTGCCATAAAAAGTTATCAACCTTGTGTGAGCTTATTAGTGCAAAATATTGATTCAACGACATACCTTCGTCACGACTTTCTATTGGAGTTGACGTCCTTCTACGTTTATCAGCACTGGCATTTGACACCACTTCGTCTTCATTAACGGCGTCTATTTCGATTTCCCTATAGAATTAAGCTAGTATTTTGCAAAACAAAGGATTTCCGAAGCAAAGAAGACCGGGGCGAAAAAAATTGAACAAAGAACTACAAAACAAATAAAACCACTTTCATTCTAACCCAGTTAACTTTCCCTTTGCCAAATTCAAACCGTGAAATGACAACGCATGCGTATCGATACAGTTATTTCTCTCTGACGACACTATCAGGCGTTGAGATGAATTCATTAGATCCTCGTTCACATCTTGTGTTGGTAATGAGAGTTTCTTCGTCAACGGTTCTAAAAACTATCTCAAAATATCCAATAATGCTTTCACAGTAAAAAAAAATTGCATCATAACAAGAAAGCATAACTATTTTGGAAATTATAGCGTAGCCCGTGTATAAAATACATTATCTAGGCCTAAACGGAAACAAGTGTCACATTAATGGCATCATATAAATCAGTGAAGCATATATATCAAAATAAGAACACTCCCACCTCGGATCTCAAACTGTGTTTTAGGCTCCGACTTCGGAGCGCCAATCTGTGTAGACGAATCTGCTCTTCTCTGAACTGAACGACTTCTAGTGAAGTCAGTGCGCTGTTTCGGTGGAGGTAGTGATTTCGCTCTCAGAGATGCGGTGCCTCCCACAGCATATTTTGCCATTCTATCGAAGAGTTTCACTAAGTATCGAGTGCGTTCACGATGAATGTGACGACTAAAGAATGGACAACTTCGTGCATTCAAATGAAACATGAAGGAAGTAACCTACTGTACGGTAGTTTCACAATTGCTTGAGCGAGCAGCACTAGAACGAACATCAGGTTCTCTGTAGCGCCTTTTTGCACCGATGCTGGGTACTTGCCATTTATAAGATGTACTGTCTATAAAAAAGTTTCATGCACAAGAACAGTGAAAATCACTATCACATGAAATACGGTCTTTATTAAGGCTAAATAATAAAAAATAATAAACTAGCTAAACACAGATGCCAAAGACTAGGATGTAGACTAATAGGTTAACAATATAAGCGACTATGATGGGCATCTGATACGTCCGATTCGGGTTCTTAGTTGTTCTAATCAATCAATGTTCACGGACAAATTCGTGTTGACGAGAACTTCGACGCCGCCGACTCCTCTACCGTCGCATGTTCCGAGGAACAGTTCTTCTCCGGTGTCATTGACGGCGTTGAAAGGATGGCGTCTTCTGGTCTCGGCCAGGTCGATGAAGTCGTACCTTATCCTTCTTGCTTGCATGAGCAAGTCTTCTATCGAGGACTCGGATGCGAGTATGCGTGCATTGTAGGCACAGATCGTCACCTTACTGCTCCGTGATCCAGGTAGCTTCCATTGGCCCTGAACTTTTATCCCCCTCTGCGAACTCGTCCTATCCAACGCTACCGAATTGAAGACTTTTTCGGGGTTAAGGGAATGAGGCCCATTTCTTTCAATGTTTTTAGCTTTTTGATACCTACGTTTAGCTTACTGGGCTCTGAATTTGGAGGCTGGATATACTCACGGGTAGCTCGCCAGGCTCTCCCAGAGTGGACATGGAGCTTATTTGTTGGAGGCGATTCGACTTAGCTCCAGAGTTGAGCAAGAGGAAAAGCGCGGCTTAGGGAGTTTCCAAGAGCATCGAGGATGTAGTGAAGAGATTAAAAAACACTCGACTCCATGACCACATTTTCGACTCAACGGTACTTCCTATCCTAACGTATGCGTCAGAGACCTGGTTGCTGCGTAAGCAGGATGGCAGGCCACTCAGCGTTACTGAACTCGCAGTCGAAAGGACGATGCTAGGAGTATTCCGTTTCACACAAGTAAGGGAAGGAATCCGAAGCTCCTACATGCGTCAACGATCAAAAATCAAAGATGCCGCCTGGATTCCTATGGATGTCAAACGTACTGCAGGAAGACCACCTACCCGATGATCAGAGTTCTTCACGAAGAGCCTAGAAGAAAGATATGATGCTCGACGAGTCCTTAGAGCGAGCAGAATCCACTGGGCTACTCTTGCACGCGATAGGGAAAAATGGATGGTTTACTGGTGCCCGCTCGAGTCACTAGACGATCAACGGACTACAGGTGATACAGGTGATGATGGGCGCAACCGAAGAATTGAAGATGTATCTGCTTTTCTACCCACACGTTTTTCTCTTTAAACGAACGCAATCCAAATTAAAAAACAGATCAATTTTGAGCAGCACAAAACCTGTTTCAACTTTGGTGCCACTTGTGCATTATGGTGAACTTAAGGAATGATAGAAAGCCCAAAATAAAAAGAAAACCTGATCGCTCATTGTTGGATCCACAATTTTCACATTTTTGTGATGATGAAGTGGGCATAGAAAGACGACCAAGCTATAAAAGAGCGTTGCTTATCGTAAATACACTTTTAAAGAAGAAACCCGCAAACACTGTAAGAGACAAAACACTGCATTCATAGAGATTCTCTCATTCTTTCTGTAATGAGAACAACTTACGTTGACAGACATACGGGTCGGCAATGTGGGAGACGAAATTTCAAGGTTAGAAGTCATACTATTCTTTGACTTCTTAACAAACCAGAAGCTTTTCTCAGCCAGTTGACGTATAGTCAGTGTGGCAGCAACGCACACGAATGGTCTTCGATGTGGTAGGTTGACGTTGACGTAGTTTATGCAATACCTGTAACTAATGAGTTTAACAAGGTTAGTTAGCAGAAGAGGTTAGGTTAATATGTGGTGTAATTACATAACGCGCACCAAACATTTTAATCAGAACACAACATTTCACTCAACATTTGTCATTTATCATGCATACCTGCTATCTTAACCGTTGAGTGGCTTCTTTTCGAATTACATTAGAGTGGTCAGATCCGGTCAAGTGTTTCCACTGCAGCAATTTCTTCTTCACAAACCTGGTTCCTTTTCAGGTGTTGGATAGTGGATATGTAAGAGACCACTTCTTCCTCGTAACCGTCACGTCGTCCCACTATCGTTTCCCTTTGTTCACGTGAAACATTATTTATAGGTTTATTTACGGTTGAATTGCAAAGATCACACTTAGTTCTTTCACTACATAACTTTGAACTAAACAACGAAATAAAAAAATTATTTCTGACTCATCTCCACTCATTTTTGGCAAGTTTGAACAGATTTTCGTAAGCCTAAGCAAACCCCTGTCATCTCTATCACAAACCCGGATAAATAAATCAGATGATTCTAAAACTCCACATTAGCTTCAGAAAGTACTAATAAAAACAAAGCGTCTGAGTCTTCTATAGATACACAAGCTGTACACTTATTTAGCGCTTCCACCAAAAGCGATATTAATATGGAATTTTCACAGAAAGGAATGTCTAAGCCTTTTACAGATAAAGGCAATATACTGAGATATGTTGGCTAAAGAATAATCAATTCTCCTCACCAGTTGCCGCAAACGCGACCTAATCGCGACGCCACGCGTTCCCTGCACGCTACTGAATCGCGCGCGTGGTGGGTGAATTTTAAATGGGCTGCTAGTGTTTTGGTTTCGCTGCCATCTCTGGGCTTCTGTTCGTCCGTGCTCCATGTGTTCCCTCAGCTTTTCCTTTCGTGGACAGTGGTCTTCTTTCGGATGGACGGATGAAGGTTCGTGTTTTGTTCTCATTTCCACTCTTTCCTTTTTCCTCGCTCATTTTCCTCATTCTTTGTTCATTTACTCGGCTTCTATTCTGATTTTCAACTTGCTATTAGACTTTCGTGAGCGTCAATTGGTCACATCGACAAGCTGTTTCGAAGGCAGACCTCTCGATGCTTCCGCTGCCTTCGATCTTCGCGACAGGTTCGCAAGNTAATTACGACTTTGCAGGTGCTTGTGTTAGTATCGAACGTGAATAAACAAACCTTGCTGTTGCTGAACGATGTTGTTCTTATGTCATTGGAATTCTGTTTCTAGATTCATGCGTCGGAAATCTCCTGTCCTTCCGGGTTAATTTCTCATAGATTTACCTATATGTATTATTGTGAATGCGAAAGTTCTGTTAGGAACGACATTTGTTGGATTTCACTCCTCAGGCTCGGAGATCACAACGTTCTACACGAGGAACATAGATGTGGATTTAAACGTATGAAATTTAAGCATATGTTCGTAGTCGTGAATAAGACTTGTGTTTCCGGTCGTCATTGGGATGTATGTGAGGACATCCTAAGAAGTCTTCGTCGGCGTTTTGAAGGTCTTGACTCACTGAGCAAGGCAGTGGCATCATACAATGTAAACTATTTTATCATTTTGCGTTTATGGCATAGAAAGGAAGTGCACATATTGCACCTCTTGGGTAGGAGCACGCCGTCTTGTGACGCGAATAAATTTCCTACCAACATGACGTAGACGTTTGAGTGGTAAGAGCGGATGGTAATTTATGATCTACGGTGATAAATTCGTGAGGAGGACCAGTTATTTTTGGTCGGGGAACTATTTGTGCTCGCCTCCACTTCCTGCAACAGCATAATTTGATGGATCTCCAGGATGGAAAGACGAAAGGATTGCTCTTTTAGAAAGCACAAAACACCGAGAGTAGCTACTGGTGAGTGATGCTTTGAAGATTTCGAGTTCGTATGTATACGTAGTTGTCGAATTGACTTCTATACTTCGTGGACATGCAACCTCCATGAGATTTTTTTCTGCAGCAGTTTGATTGGTCACGACTTCTTTGTGAGTAGTTGTCTATGGGCTAGTTAGAGAGGTGGCAGTTAGGACTTGTGTAGCAGTTTCTCGGATATGTATACGTTTTCCGTGATTGATTGAATTGTGCATGGACGTCTCCTCGTCGACTCGTCTGCACTACAATGCGAGCCTTTGTGATCAGTGCTCTGTGCATACGGAATGGGACACAACCCGTACTCTGGTTTCTTAAATATTTTTACGCTTTCCCTAACGTGTCATCGAGTTACACAACAAGAATGCTTCTATTCGGCTGGCCAACAGAGTTAGCAAATGTTTCTATTTGTGTTCTATTCTATTTCTATTTGTAACAAAAAATTCTCTGCTTTCTTTAAATCCCTGCGACGTCCATGTGTCGAGTTCCTTTGAACTTGTTATTATTTAGAGCTTCTAAAAGTATTGTCCTATCCGTCCCTTTTTTATATACAAGCTCTTGAATATGCATACTTCTGTACATGTATATAGATGCATATATATATATATACATGTGTATGTGTGCATGTGTGTCTGTGTTTGTGTGTATATGTTTGTGGACATATGTGTGTAATGTGCTGGGCATCTGGGCATGTCTGTACCATTTGAAGAACTCATTGCTCATTACGAAACGTTCAAAGTGACCGGAATTTCGGGGAATTTATTGAGTCTCTGGTAGAATGCCCTTTATACCTTTATATTGTGGGCGACTTCTGCGGCTTTATGACGAGAAACTCAAGGCTGTTTTCTCCTGCTTCGGTCATCTCAGACCTGACGTCTATTCTACATTTAGTACAATTTATTTGCTTTTTGAAAGGTTAAAAACTGACCTTGATATCGCAAGAACTCTTTCAATTGTAAAGGCAAGGCTGCTTTTAACTTCAAACTAGCTTCTCTCAGCCCATACCCTGGTTTGCATGATTCATGTCTTCTCGTTTTGCCGAAATCATGTTTCTATCTTTAGAAACCGCGAAACATTTGCATTTGTGCCATCTTCTGCGTCAGATCTTGTATTTCGTGCACGAAAACAGTTGAACAACAAGGGGCTGGCGGGGTATTATGTGAAATATAACCGTAATGTTGCTGAGATATTTGCAAAACTCTGGACCGCTGGTGTTTGCGGTAGGGACCGAACAGGTTGTCACCCTTTCCAGGCGCTAACGGCTTTACCACTACACCATGCGAGTGCTTAGTTTCGTCTGTCCCTCAGCCGTGTTATTTACCTATAAGCGCTATCGGCAATTGCCCATCACCGAATTTGATCTGGAGAGCACAAATCGATTTTGAACGTGTTCACATTTGGAAAGGGTATAGGCGTGGTCGATTTGCAAATATCTCAGCAATATTATGGTTATATTTCACAAGAAGACGCGTACAACGTGTTTTTCGACTAATTGTGCTGGTTTTTGTTTCCAAGAAAGCCTTTGATTCGTTGTCAGCAACGGTTGGCCGTCCACTACTTTACTCACCTTCGACGTCGAATTCACCTTGACGAAATTCCTGAGGCCAACATTCCTTTGTGCATTCATTGGTGCTTTCTCGGTTCCATACCTCATTAAACGGAGGCGGACAGAACAGCGATAGTGATGCCGATCATCATGAGCACGGTGCTGTTCGATCTTGCTCATGGTTCGCCAAACCTCTCATCCCTCCTTGCTGAGCAAATTAGTACAGCGATTGTCCGTGAAGAATCTCTCTCCAATCTCAATCACGGACGAAAACATATCTGAATATTTGCTGAGCGAAGTGCGAAACCTTATTGTGCGGTTCAGTGTACCGAACGATGTTCATTCAAAGTGCGCTTCATAACTGAAGAGATTGTTGACATATGTCATCCGTAGCAGTTGTTCCTTAATGTTTTTATTAACACTGTTGGTTTTAGGCATCTCGATTTTACCGAACCGTTGTTGGATATTCTAAGGAGATGCGGTGACTTCAACAATCTCGTGGCTTCTTCGAATCTCGTTTTTGACGCTTTTGAATGACCATTAACACAGTTGTGAGTTTTAGCAGTTATTTCAGACCAGCGTTTATCATTCATTTAGTGCGTTTGATTGTTTAGAATGCATGAGAAAGCAGTGTTTACATAACAAATGGAAGGTGTGTTTTGGAAATTTCGTTCTTTTTTCCAGTTCCATGGTGACAGCAGGTTAAACTTAGCATGTCCTATACATGATTCACGTTCACACTGCCGGCATCTAATGTTCCCAGGCCTGAAGCTCTCACACCAATTCAGGTTTATTAAAAATAGGAATCGAACGTTTCAGGCGGTACGGTTTTCTATATTGTTTAGGTCAAATGCTGAAACATACTATTTCAAGGCATGCACTTTTTGATAACTTTCAGCGATGTGGTCGAAGCGTATATCAGCGCTTACATAATGGGCTGTGGTACCAATCTTGTTTTAAAGTCAGAGATAAATCCTCCACCAGAAGAATGAGCTGAAGAGTTGTTTTCTTCTCATTTGTCTTTGTAAACAATTTCCGAAACCAAGCGATATGTTGCTCTTCTCCGGCATATGCTCTCATATGACAGTGTCTGCTTTTGTTAACAGTACTTCGGCTTATCGACCAAGTGATTACTGTGTATTTTTCTGAGACGTCTTGAATATAATATCTTGCACAAGCTACAGTTTCTTATGGGCTCATTTTGGTGCTTCAGGCTCGGATCGATTTGAGATCGGTTGCTACTAGATATTGCTCTCTAATCGCTTTCAAATTTCAGAAAAACTTCATCAAAATTTTGTCAAACTGCTGTACCTATGATCTACGTTCTCCAGAAACTTTTTCGGAGGTACGTATTCTGGCGATTAGCCAGTCTTTATGAATGCGTCGTTAGTTTCACAGCAGTCGCGAGGTTGTTATACAGCATACGTTTACTTCTGTGCAAAAACACGTGCAACGCAACAGTAGCTGACGTTTCGGTAGTGTCGCCTTCTTTAGAGCCAGGTGGGGTATATTGATGTGCAATTTACTACGCTAAACACTTCAATGGCACACAGAAAGGTTAAAATCTGTGGTAATCATATGATGAACAGCTTGTCGAAAATCTGACCGTTTTTACATGCTTTCAACTGAGGAAGACCCACTATATAATTGGAAAACATTCTACAATGAAAAGCATGGGTGGATGCCCACAACACACATGGAACACACATGATCTCGGCCCGTACCATCGATTTTTGATGTGAGGTGGTGCAGTTGTTCACCATATGCGACTAATCAGCGGTTATTCCTCAGTGGAAGACGCGTAAAACGGTGGGTTTTTCGAGAAGCTGCTGATTATATGATTACTATATAGATTTCCGTCGTTCTGTATGTATCATTGAAGCGTTTGGTGCAGTAATTTGCATTCTAACGTACTCTTCCAGGCTCTGAAGAAGGCGATACTGCCTAAACGTCAGCTAGTGTTGCGTTGTATATGTTTTTTGTAACGAAGTAAACGTATGCCGTATAACAACCTCGCGACTGCTCAGAAAGAAAACGATTCATTTGTAGCGCAATACCGAGGTTAATACAAGGCCTATCCTGGGAGCTGCTTCAATTTCTGTAATTACTAAGTCGACATTGACCAGTCTGCACAGTGAATTCAAAGTATGGTGCCATTGTCGTTGTATTGAATGCCTTGATCATTTTACATGCGCCGTTAGACCATATACAAAGCAAGACATGGGCTACTTATACATCGAATGAAGTCACGAATAAATTTTTCTCGTATTCAGGCTACCTGAATTGTGGACCTATGAGGCAATATAGGGCGCGTGTGGCGCAGTGGTTGGAGGCGCCCTGCAACACACACGTGGAATTGATCCCGTGCCCATGGCCCACCTTGTCTTCCATCACTCCGGTGTAGGCAGATTGATACCTGACTTGTCTGGGAAAGCAACAGCACTGACTTGATGCATCGGTGGACCATTGCGGGTCATTGTAAAGGTTAGATATGCATTCAGTCACCTCCAAACGATACTTAATTAGGTCGAATACATAGCGCGTACCTCAGGTTTTGATCAGTGCCGAGAGCTTTATCCTTTTTTGCCTTGTGAGACATCATATTCTTTTGAGAGCTCAGATTTAGCTCACATTTCCATGAATTTGACACGTAAACGCCCACTACATTTCCTTGTGGGCAGAGCACTTACGGAACCCAACGTGACAAATCCAGGTGTATTGGAGCATTGGAAATTTTCTTATTATGACATGTACCTTGACTTTCTCCGGTTTTCACGATCCCGACAGAAGGAATGCATTCATGTGCACGTATACTACCCGTAGTTATTTAGACCTAGAAGGTTATAATGGATGAGGTAGTAATCCGTCTTCTTAGTTTGTCATTTGTTAGAATAGAATTTGAATCGTAACCTTAATAGGAACTCGAAGATTTCCGTCCAAGAGGAGTGCTCGGAATAGGGAATTGTTATGAGATTTTCGTTGATTATTTCGTTCTATTCCGCTCGTAAGGAGAGATCAACAAACACTTTTGGATTCTTCATCTTCGTCAATGCATGGAGTACATATCTAGGCTGTCTTTGTGAAGTGCGAATTAGGGTACTATCAATCTGTTCCTGAAATTCCCTTTCGTTTAGTCCACATAGTCTGCTCGCCATTGTACGTTCATATCTCGTTGGTGTTACTTCTGAATAGTCCTTGCTTAGTTTTTCTAAGAATTTCTTCTGTACGAAGCCTTAACACTGACTGAAATATTACAGCGACGAAGATTAACGATTTCACGAATTAACATTTTTTCGCACTCCATTCTACTAGGGAATGATGCTTCGATGTGATTCAAGTGAGTATTGTCGAAATAGAGCTTGCAGATGTAGGCATTTTCGAGCTTCTTGAAAGAAGAATGGTTTTCGAAACAACAAAGTAATCTTTTATCAGTGCGGGGATCTCCTGTAGACAACACACTGTCTCCAGGAGTTGATTCGCCTTCAAACAGATCCATGAGAGATCCTAGACAGTGATACGCATATAGTAACGTTACGTGGAATTCAGGCTCAATCTCGTGTGTTTCTCCAACCTGAAGAGTGCCAAAAGTCGTGTAGGTATTGCCTCTTTGCCCATCGTTGTCGGCAAAATCTTAGCAGTGATCTCCGGGCAGTATATTGGAGGTTTCCTTGTTTTATTTTGGTTGGCGATGTGGTCTTCTTGGACGTTCGTCAAAAAATAATACAGGAATCTTTCCGCACAAGTGTATCAAGAGCAGTGAAGCATTTTCCAGTGATGCTCCTTCCACACTTCGGAACAATATTCTCCTCGTCAACATCTTCGCCATGTGTTCTTCTTGACGATCAGCCGCACTCTACTTCTTTGCCACTCGGTTTTTCCTGAGCCATTCGACCAGCAAATGGTTTGTTATCATTCCAGTTAGTTTAATTTACTTTAATGTTGTTTTATTAAACGCACTAAACACACGTGAAATGGATTGTTACACTTTTCTCGAATTTTCTCTCTACTCGTCTTGTTGCCATTGTGTGTTTCTAACACTTACGCAATCGGCAAATCATCGCCCGTCCGCTGTCGAAGTTCAACATCGTCGCGAAGGGGTTGGGTGACTCCTGTTTTCGTTTATGCTTGTTCTGTAATTGTTGTTTGAAAGCGCTAATAAACGTGTTCTTTTTCTCATTTGTATATGACTACACGTTTTGCGGTATTATATTTTTGGCTTTATGTTTTAGCAATGTATTGAATAATTTTTGTTTCAATTCTCAAAAAACGTTAGGTATTTTCACAAGTACTTCAAAAGAAGATGGACGATGTAGAGGCTGAGCTCGTCAATGAGCTCGAATTTCAGTACTATGGTTTTTCCCCATTTGGGTTTGTGGACACAGGTAATTTAGTCTCTCTAGTTCAAGGTTGCGCATGATATCGTATGCTTGGTAATATTTCCCATTCGAATTTTATGCGTACGTCGCATATTCTAAACATAGTGTGCCAAAAGAAATATTTAGTTTATAATGATTGTGTGCAATCATGGGTGGAAGCAGTTGAGGAGGTATTCTCTTCACCCCCTTTCTCCGAAGTGAGTAATGGTTATGTCGTTGTTTTTCTGAGCAATAGGTAATGTTTTATTCTAGCAGTTTAGATGGAGGACAAAGAGGGCTATGTGGCAGAGATTATTAAGATGTTTTTCCATAATAAGGGTATAAAAGAAGCAACAGATATCTTAACGGTGAGCACTTGTTTAGTTTCTTCACTAAATCTGGCCGCTGTATAATTCTCTTCGATTTCTGTTGCGTACTGAACGATCTTAGAAGTTCTCCTGCAGATAGTGTTTCATTCCGAAATATAGGTCTATTTGTAGAGTATAGGTGTTTCATCTAGGCAGGTATTTATGGGTTTTTCAAGGAACGGATTCTGAGATACGTTCTTCGTATTCCTCGCCACGTTACTCTGCCTGAACATGAGTATACTCATCATCTTCTATTCTCCGATGACCCTGACGTGCAGGAGCTCAATCGTCAGAACGCTAAGCTTGCAAAATGCATTGTTGAGGTCTGTTGCATATGATGACAATTCGCTTCCTATTCTTGAAGACGGTGGTATTATCGGCGTCTGGTCTAGGAAATAAGCTGTTTTGCTTTATTTAGTACCGCACCACCCTGACGGAGTTGAACGAGCGGATCCAGGAAGCCAATAATGCTGCGGAAGTTTTAACAACGCTGATAGAACAATTGGAAAGAATATCTTTGGATGTTACAGACGATCCTGTCGGCGGTTCTGATGTCAGCTCCCCAGTCATAAGCTAGGTGCTTGCAACCATTGTATGTACTTTAATATCTGCTACATAAATATTTGATTCAGTGTGTGAATTTGAAAAGCTTTGGTAACAGCACCTCTTATGAATTTATTTTTGAGGCATGTGAAAATTTCATCCCTCCGTATTGAAACGTTAAGGAAAGGCAATGCCGTTCAGATGCCGGCTCCAGTCTTTTGAATACTGCGTGTTATCCTATAGTTTCAGAATGAAGTGAGTCATATTTCATAGTATTTCTCACCTCGAATTGTATTGGTTACGTGGCGCGTTGATTTTGATTATCATAGCATCGGATTGATATTACATACCTAAAAACGAATAGATTCAATGAAAAAACTTTGGTAGTAAACTCTTGCGTTCTAATAGGACACCTGCATATCTCTTCCAAATTAGGAATTTACATGCATATGTTAACACACTCATCGATTTAACTGCTGTTTTATTGTGATGGTGATTGCTTGGACACTTGTGTACTTGTATGGCTCGCCTTCACTAGTTTTGTGGACCCCGGTATAATTTCCATTATTTCGAAGTTTTGTTGGCTAGGTCGTTGTGGTTCAATGGAATCCCGAAATCGGCGAGGCGAAAGTCCGCCTCAAGTCCTCTCCACCATGGGTAGTAGCCTCCTTTTTGGATCGGAGGGAATTTTCGCATCAAGCAACTAGCTTGATGTCTGGGCGATGGTGGACGCTGGTATTGGTTTACTCCTTTCCTAGTTTCTTGATGGAAATTTTGGACTCCTTCCCAGCTAAGGAAACCCTTCTGGGGGATGAATCACAGCTGTCTACATCGCGTACGACACCCAGGAACACCTTCCAGGTAGGATGAGGCGTAAACTGTCGTGAGGATCGGTTATTAATAGTCACTACTATTTTTCTTATTAATTCATTACTCTTTACTATTCTTATTATTTAGTATTTTCTACTGTTCTGATTCACGACAAGGGTAGTTCAGCGGTTTTGATGAAATCCAATGCGCACAAAGCTCTGGTTCTACCCATTCTAGGACAACCAAGACCCTCATACGTCCAGGATCGAGAAGTTGGCAACAAATCGTCTGGGATCAACTCGATCTGTCCAATCCAAAAAGGCCGACAAGTTCCTCTGATGAACACCCACACGCTAGCACAGTAATCTTAAGACTCAAGGGTGAATCATATCGACCAGTTTTCGACGTCATTAGTAAGGAAGATCGAAATTCATTAAAATGATGACCAATTTTGTCGTAATGATATTTGCAGCGCTGCCGATTTGTAATATTTTGAAACTCGTTTTCGCTGGAGGTTCAGTCAGGTAGAGTTTTTTTTGCAGCGTTTTTTTACGGCTCGTGCAAGCTCCAAGTGTTTTTCGCATGTGTTAATGTTATTGTTATTGTTGTCGTCACTATTATTCTTTTTACTGCTTGGATTTTCGAAGCTATTTCTGGTGACGAGTTGACCACTATGGGCAGGATTCTGTATGTGGCAGAGAACTCTTTATTTCTTCAAGTTATCGAATATCACGCAAGCGAAGACAACAACAATCAACCAATCGTCGAGTTTTTCATAGTGGACAGGCGATTTTAAATGTACATGGGAAAGCAGGTGTGCTGTTAGTGAAGCGTCGAGTAGAAGATGAGTCGATGTAGGTAGAAGGTGCAAAAAATGCTGGAGTTTCTCTGCAGCGGGACTTTCATGGTCCGAGATGGAGATTATTAAACAAAAATATTGGTACGGAACTTCTTCGTTATTGATTCCATATCAGAGCCGGTTGTGGTGCAAATGCTATCCTTGCTCATGAAAATAGACGGCGATATTCGCCCAAGTTTCGAGTACATTTCTTCAGGCTAGATCGTCGATCAATTGAGCTGCTTCCGAAAATTTCTCTTCCTATACCGATCTCAATTCTCGTAGAAACGTCTTCTATAGCCGGCATTTGTTATCAGACATGTTAGGTGTGTTGCAGTAGGATCAAGCTTCAGTCTCTTTCATTTCAATACCAACTCCCTAGTGATAATGGGTATGAGGTTCGCACCTTTTGTTTTAGTAACTGAGGCGAGTGCGACACGTAAGTTCTTCGACAGGCAGCTTGTAGTCCTTTATAGGTCTTTCTCTATTTGGCAGTCATATGAGGAGAAAACTTTATTGAGAACACCATCATCGTAGGCGCCTTGTTTGGTTGTCCTTGGACGATGACAGGAGCGCTTTTCAAACTTGTGGCTGAATTTAATCTTCGCGCGCAGATGGCGTTGACCAGATCCAGGACGGATCGATTAGGCACCATCTACTCTTCCTGAGAATACAATCGAGCTCCGCATGTGTCATGGCGTTGAAGAGACTCCCGAGTCCATCGAAGATTTTCTCGAAAAACAAATTTCTATGGAGAGTCTTGTTGCGGCCGACAATTTTACAGAACGGATTGCATTTCCGCTTCGATATCCAATTCTGAATTTTTCTTTCCTGTATTCGTTTTCGCTGACTGTTCCTAATCTGATATCTGGTTGACATTATCTATCTAGATATCTGATCTGGTAGAGATTTCACCGGTCGTTATCGCTTGCCGGCTGATGACCACTTTGCTACCAGCATTGCAGTGATTCTTGACACTTCTTGATACCCGTAGTCGACGTCTTTGTTAAAGTGTCGAAGTAGGCTTGGGAAGTCTACGAAGAGAATGAATATGTGCTCTGCAACCCAGTTCGATACTCAACGCAACCGCATATAAACGGAGTTTTCCCACTTTCAATGCTGTAAAGCGGTTTGAAGTCAAACATGATGTCCTGAGCATTTATATAACTGCTCAAACGCTTGCGACAAAAAACACGCTGAGATCCTAAAATGTAGCAATATATTTTCTAATTCGATATAGTTTTTCCAAAACAACGTGGGTTGTGGAGAATGAAGTTATGAGATGTGTACAAATCGGCCGCGGGATACTTCTACAAAAGCTTTATGAACAGTTCTGTGAGAAAAGTGAAGTGTTTCTAGCAAAAATATGTGGAGTACTTTTGTACATTTCTTTCGGTGCATTTCAGCGTACGACACAGTTACTGCAGTATCGGGCAAAACGCCCTAACGGTTCGTTGGCGTGACTATGGGTTGGGCAGCAACTCTTCGCGTCCGAATAATAGTGAGGTTGGATGTGAATTTTCAAATTTCATCATTGTTGATACATTAGTTAGCTGTTTATTACTGTATTCATAGTTTACGTTCGGCCAGCTTGCGTATGAAGTGTTGCGAGTGCTTACAAGATGTAAATTTGAATTTTTTGACTAATAGAGTGGAACCCTTCCAACAGTTTACCTCCTCTTCGTGGCTGGCAGGTGTTCTTGGACGTCGATCTGGGATGTACAACGGGGAATTCATTCCGCAGTAGGATCTCCCGAGCTGAGATGGAGTTCGGCGTTTCCATCAGGAAACTCATCTAAGAGTAAACCGGTGCCAGGATCCACCACCGTCCTGGTACCAAATTAATCGCATGGTGGCAAATATCCCTCTGTCCAACAAGGGAGCCGGCTGCCTATGATAGTGACAACGTGGGTTAGAGTTTGGCCAAGCTGACTTCGGGACCACAAGGGAACACAGTGGTTAATGCAGCAAAACTCCGAAAAATGGAGAATAGCTGGTGGCCGCACAGCTAGTGATGTCGGCCGTCCAAGTATCCAAGCTTCCAAGTAGGAAAATGGGACTGCGCGATTCGCGTGGCGTCTTTTAATAGCTCTTTATTTAAAATGGAAAAAAAGAGGTCGAGTTGAAGAAAACTGCGGCTGGTAGGGACGCCAAGGACAGGCATCGCACTTCAACGGATCCTTAGGCTGATTGTTTTATCTCTCACACCGTCTACAATGTGATCAGCTCCATCGAGAATCTAGATTGAGTGTAGGCTGAGGTGCGAAAATGCCGTGAGAAAAGGACACTAATGAATATTCTGAATCTTGCGTTTTATAAGTGCCATTGTGCGATAATTCGTAGCGTAGGCTTGTAACAATAGCGATGAAGCTTTTATTTATATTTGAACGCTTAAACGGCCTATCACCACAAAGAGTGAGAAGTCGTAGGAGTTTCAGCAGAATTCCTACTTCACTGGTGATTCGCCGGTCAGGCAAGATTTTCTTCCTGTGAGATGCGTGATGTGTAATACAACCACAATTATGCTGAGGTATTTGCAAAACTCCGGACCGCAGGTGTATGCAGTGGGAACGAGCGCACTATTACCTTTTCCGGGGGCTAACGCGTCGACTACTACACCGTGAGGTTTTTCGGTTCCAGTGTCTCAGGTCTCTATGTTAATCAATCCGTGATGGATGCGCTATGGATTCGAATTCATCAAGCACTTCTTCGCCGTTATTGTCATAGTAGAACGCCGCGGTAAAGCATTATTGGAAGCCTTCACGAATCCAAGTGCCAAAGATAATAGACATTTGTGTTTCATGTAAAAATCATACAAGAGAATGAATGTGAACTAAGGTTGTGCGGCAATACTGCTAATTATTCAGCAGTTTGGTGTCCATCGTCCGGCAGACAACTCTGGTCCGGATTCTTGCAAATATCGCGCGATCACTGTGGTTATTGTCCTTCCCGGGGAGTAACGCGTTCACCACCACACCATGCGGGTCCTTCGTTTCGCCTGTCTCTCAGCTTTCTATCGATCTGCCACAGCAATCACCCGTCAGCAACGTTGTGGTTGTATTTCACTTAGTACCCTGCCGCGAAATTATAGTAGGCAGAAAATAAAAAGGTATAACACTGTGGTTATATTTCACATTATATCCGGCCATGAAAAAGGACTAGGTAGTACGTGAAAAGTACTACATTGTTACCTATGGTTAATTTAGTTTAGTTTAGTGTGCGCCAAGTAGACGCAGCAAGAAAAGGGAGTCCATTCCTGGACACACCTGGGTCCCACTTAAGTGAAGGTCGCTTTTGGTCCGCGAGTAACTCTACCAGCCTATAAACGCGCCACGTTACCTCGCAACTAACAGGCATGAAATCTCTCTGTGAGGGAAATCCTATGATGATCCACTGTCAAATTTACAGTGTGGATCGGAGCACTTCTCGCATTCGATTCGTTTTCCTCGCGTTCATCGTTCACAGTGGTCTTCAGACATTTCCGATATTCATGCAGGTGCTGCTTAAAGGTTTCATCTTTTTTATAGACGTCGCCGAATGCTGGTCGAGTCGACCGTCCTTGAAATCTTAGAAATTACCGGGCTAAGGGGTTTGTACATGGACTGAAGGAGAGCGTTGAGGCAGGTATCGATCTAACGCCTTTGCTTTCCGATCGCCCCCATCATCAACCACTTCGTTATCCCCGCCCTTATGTATTTATATACCTATATATTTACACACGCAGGTAGAACGATTTTTTTTACCTTCGGTATATCTAAATTTAGAAATTTCAAAAAAGGCGCGACAGTAGTGATGTAGACAGTGGTCAGAAGAGTGCAGATTCGACTCCATCTCGAGCCCGCTATACCTTCTTTCCTTCTAGAGTGAGGAAACTGGTATAAGATTTTAGAATTGCAACTCATTCATATTCAGGTGGGAACGGCATTGTTTGGATAATGGCTGGTTGGAAAGGCGGTCAACTAATTCAGTATTCAACGGCATTCATAAAGCAGACGAAAATGCTTAGCAAGGGACCGAATCTATCTACGAAATGTTCGAAGAACTGCATATATGATGGATACGAAGAGACGAATCGAATACCAGAAGTGGTGGGATCCGCACAGTGGATGTAATGCGGGGTCGCTTGAAAAACAATGTTGAGTCCTGTGCGAGATATGTTAATTCGAAAACGGAAACTGCCATCATTTTTGTAACAAGCCGATTGTGTCAAATGCAAGAAGCACTTTGTGTGTCATATCCATGTATATTTGATTCCGCCCATATCACGTGACCAATAATTGACCACGCAAGGGTGAAATCCGTAGCCAACTCTAAGCTCTCTAATGATTGGAGATTTCACTATATTAAAGAGTTTTCGCAAGCGCGGAACTGCGACTTCTAGTGGAAGGTTTCTTACCCAACAGGATTCTCCAAACTAAGCGAGAGTTCAAAGTTTCTATTCGGAAGCACAGCCGTTTGTAGTTTGTAAAAAAAAATGCGACGGCAAACAGCTCAACGCGCTAAACGTGGGGTTTAAAAACAGCTTTAGAAATGTGGCGAACGAAAAGTTTGACGCGCTTTCTGTGCTTTGGGCTAATGAAACCCACCAAGTAGTCATGCGGTGTAGTCTGTGCAGTCGGTTGAAGGAAATTTGTTACGTCCTTTTCGGATTACACGAAATTTTTATGAGACATGAAGGTAATGCTAGCAGCAAGTGATGTATTCAGGCACTTATTTTTCACTTCGAGATGGCAATCAATGACTTCTCTTTTGGCGCTGATGTTGCACATATAAGCCTTTATGAGGTAGTGCTGTCATGCACGCGTAGTAACAGGAGAAAACAAAGAGACTGGGAGATGTTACGGGTGGTTGTTAACTGTAATATTCCATCATCATAGGATCAGGTTTTAGAGGAGCAGGTTGCACCGGCGTTTAGACAAGGTTAGTAGATTACTTTATTAGTTCCCGTTTCAATGGTACACTTTGAATGCACACCTCAAAATGTGGTTAAATCACTTTAGAGATGAGGTTTTTTGGAAAGTATTTTAACCCTATCGAGGAATAGTCTATTTGTATGTAGTATGGCGTGCATAGGGCTCGTGTAGNGCAGTGGTTAGAGGGGCCCTGCCGTGCATATGGGATCGATTCCCGCTTACCAAGCTCACCACCATTTCATCCCTCTGTTGTCGGTAAATTGGTGCCAGACTTGTCTGCGAAGATAGCTTTACTGACTCAATACATCGGTAGGCCATAGCACTGTAGAGGCCAGTTGTGCACTCAGTTACCTGCAATGGTGCTTAATGAAGACGAATGCATGGCACATCTCTCAGGAATCATTCAACGAAGAGAGCTTTGTCCTATTTTTATTCGTTGTATGCGCATTTTTATCCTTGATGTTGATGTGAGGATCACTATGGTGATGTGACAGTTCTAACATGAAGCGCTTTCCAGGCGGAACAAGTGCCTCCCAATTTTGCCGTTCGTGAAGAAAGAGTATTGTCCAATTGAAGTCAAGAAACACATTATTCATGTGGAACGGATTCATTTCTGGTGCATTATACACATTCAGCGGAATAAACATGTCAAAATCAGTGAAGTTGTAGAACAAATTCCACTTTCGAGCTCAAATCCTTATGTTTGCAGTTATTTCTCTTTTGTTGGGGACTTAAACAGAATATAGTCAGGGTTTAATATCTGCCATCATTATCACGTACGTTATTGAAGGGTGATGCTAGGAATACATCGTGTCGCTTAAGTGTGAAGGAGCAATCGAAAGTGTACGGTGCGATATCGACAATTAACGACCAGGTGATCTGCTAAGCGTGCGAAAATATCTCAAATCGTACGGACCGTACATATTTTGTCTATTAAATACAATCGATTAATAGAAGCCATTTTCTCCGATCCTGTCTAGATGTCTTATCGTTCATATGAATTCCTATGGTTGAAACCAATTTTGTTTTAACTTATTTTTTACTGCCTACTCTTTTAACGGCAGGGTATACATTGTGAAATATAACTTCAATGATGCTGAGATATTTGCAAAACTCCGGACCGCGGGTGTATGCGGTGGGGAACAAACGCGCTATTGTCCGTTCCGCGGAGTGGTGCGTCCACCACCACACCACGCTGGTCCTTTGTTTCGCCTGTCTCTCAGCTAATTCTATCGATCTTTTTCCATCAGCAATGCAAATGTTCACAATGTGTACCCTGCCGTTAAAAAGAGTAGACAGTAAATAATAAGTTAAAATTGTGACTATAACTGCGGCCTCAGCTTAACTGGGTTCGTTGCCGTTTTGGGCGCGCCAGATCAATCCCGCTGGCGGGTGATTACTGATGGCAAAAGATCCATAGAACTAGCTGAGAGACATGTGAAACGAAGGACCCGCGTGGTGTGGTGGTGAACGCGCTACTCCCCGGAAAGGACAATAGCGCGTTCGTTCCCCACCGCATACACCTGCGGTCCGGAGTTTTGCAAATGTCTCAGCATCATTGAAACTAATTTAGTTCTCCTAGTTTGTCATGCTCTACGAGTAGACTCTCTAGGAGAAGAAGAGGGACTAGAAGGGCAACCAAGAAGACTGCATGATTCACTTTTTTCTAAGTAAAATAACATGTGAACGCGAGCTATCTATTCGTCGACTTATCCTACAAGTAACGCTCATGCGCGAAATCTTCCAACTTTGATTTCGGCTGGTAAATTCTTCAAAGGTAGTAGAACCCAGTTGCAGGAGCAAAACTTTTAACCTTATTCCTGCATCGTTTTTTATGAAAACTAAACTATAGCTAAACAGGTACAGGTAGTCTATTTTGTCGAAGATCGCCGGCAGGAGAATTTGAAGAACTCAACGAGTAAAAATATCGCCCTATACTAATTTTGGTCCATACAACATGCACAGCAGTACATAGTTAAGTCATGAGTTATTCCATACTACTGGGCACTCCTACGAGATCGTCTCCACAACCAAAGAATCTTCCTCCACTTTCAGTCCAACTCAGAGGAACCTCAGAGGCTCGCCACATCAAATCATCTGGAATGATGTGCGGACAGCAGCACATTCAGAGTGCCTCAGAGACGAATCAGAGGCACGCCGCGTCAAATCACCTCGAACGATGTGCCGATATCGTCGTTTTAAGACCGCATAAAAGGCGTCTCTGAGGCCCGCATCGGCAGATTACCTCGAACGATGTGCGCATATCGGCATCTCCAGACCTCATCAAAGGCGTCTCGGAGAGTTGCCACGGCAAACCGCTTCGAAAGATCGGAGGCTCGCCTTGGCAAATCTCCTCGAACGATTTGCGGATACCAGCACTTCCAGACCGCATCATAGGCGCCTCGGATGCTCGAATCGGCAAATCACGTCGTACGATGGGCGGATATCGGCATCTCCAGACCGCATCAGATGCGTCTCCGATGGTCGGTACGGGAAAACACCTCGAAAGAACGGAGACTCGAATTGGCAAATTACNAAAAAAAAACTAGAAGAAACTAAGCTAAACAATGAAAAAAGAGTTGGAGCACTGTAAGATATCCGTTTGTGGGTGTCCAAGGACATGATCAGGGACTCAATTATGCAGCATAAAAATGCGTTCATCAGATTTCGGTGAGAAACAGTATTTCCACGCACGTACAGTCGAAATCTTTCAACTTTGATTTCGGCTGGTAAATTCTTCATAGGTAGTAGAACCTAGTTGCAGGAGCAAAACTTTTAACCTTATTCCGGCATTGTTTTTTATGAAAACTAAACTATAGCTAAACAGGTACAGGTAGTCTATTTTGTCGAAGATCGCCGGCAGGAGAATTTGAAGAACTCAACGAGTAAAAATATCGCCCTATACTAATTTTGGTCCATACAACATGCACAGCAGTACATAGTTAAGTCATGAGTTATTCCATACTACTGGGCACTCCTACGAGATCGTCTCCACAACCAAAGAATCTTCCTCCACTTTCAGTCCAACTCAGAGGAGCCTCGGAGGCTCGCCACGTCAAATCACCTCGAATGGTGTGAGGACAACAGCGCATTCAGTCCACTTCAGAGGCGCCTCCGAGGCTAGCCACGGCAAATTACCTCGAATGATGTGCATAAATCAGCACTTTCACACTGCTTCAGAGGGTGCCTCAGAGGCTCGCCACGGCACATCACCTCGAATGGTGTGAGGACAACAGCGCATTCAGTCCGCTTCAGAGGCGCCTCCGAGGCTAGCCACGGCAAATTACCTCGAATGATGTGCATAAATCAGCACTTTCACACTGCTTCAGAGGGTGCCTCAGAGGCTCGCCACGGCACATCACCTCGAATGGTGTGAGGACAACAGCACATTCAGTCCGCTTCAGGGACTCCTCTGAAGCTCGCCACGGCACATATAGCAACTATTGCCAGAATAGTTACTATTCATTCATCATATCGTAGATCTGTGGCAACCATATTCATGGCCTATAGCATCGCTTTGCGATCTTGCAGCATGTAAACGTTTTCACTTCGTTGAGAGTTTCTTAAAAGATACAATGAAAATTTTGTCTTTGACACTGTCTCTGTCCCCCATAGGACCTTGTTCTTTCGCCAACCAATAATTAGAGTAAGTAAGAAATCCATCAGTCAAAGTTATAACAATTTGTTTCAAATCACAGTATGATTTCTTACGGAGACGATCAGTGAGTGTACACAAGGAGAACGATCTGCTTTTAAAAATTAACGCCGGAGAATATGAATTCCGCACTATGTAATTTGCGTAGTGGCGAAGCGGATGAAGTGCATCGCGGCGAATGCATTTCTTTATTGAATGCTTACTTTAATAGACACAGCAATTTTGTTGTTCAATAACCATCACGTTCGCTGCTGACATGAAAACTAAGCTTCGCCGCACACTGCTCGTACCAAGCTTTGTGCTGGACACCGTCTCCTGACATTTTTATAACGAAGGAGTTCCAGCAGTTCTTTGTCGCTTATATGAAGAAAAGGAGTTTTCAGGAGTAGGATCAAACTGCTCATTAGATACAGTTTTCAAATTTTACAATGCAAAAAAGTTATTGGACTAGCTGACGAGATAACGCCACCCACTGAATTGTTAACCTAGTCCTCGATAGCGATAGTTTGGCCATGAACATCGATTCTTCTGAGAAAACCAACACCGGCTTTGACAATTTTCGTTGCTTGCACGTCGAAATCAAGCTGTGACGAAGGCAAAGACGAAGCTGTTTACGTGAACATGGAAAGGTTCGCAGAGAGGACCACAGATTCCACACCGCTGAGATGGGTTTCCAGAAGACGGTATTAAAAACGCCACTTTGAGGCCTACGGATTACAATGGTGCGAGCAATGTGGGCGGCTGTCCGAGTTTATCACGGCTGCTATGACCATCCATAGTTATTCGCAATTCTAGCCCACTCTTAACCCTAGACATAGACAGCTGTTAATGGGGAGTACTAAAACGAAACAGAGCACATTATAGTAAAACAAAGATGTTTCATTGCTGATAGTGCCGTTGTTGAAACAGATTACACACAGTCTGACTACAGATTGCTTCGTATAGGATTCAACTCTATCCTAGAAAGGAGGAAGAGTGGCGGTTTTCAATAACTTAATCCCAAAACAACAGTGAGTTGAGATTTATTTAAATGATTAGTCGGCTCTTGGGGGTCGGCCGCTATTGATAACAGTGACGAAGAATACAGCGGCTCACTGAACATCTTCACGTTAGCGGCTTGCAAACTGAGAGTTCGAAAGCCGCTAACATCTTCTTTAACCCAGAAGCAGCCGAGATTATGCGCCAATGTGGAATTGCACCTGTCGCAAGCAATTTCACACTCGAACTTGGAATATGATGGCCGAAGCTATAGAGGTTGCCAGGGGCCTTTGCAGTGCATGCCGAGACTTCGCCAATTACAAAACCAAGAGCATTGTGCTCCACTACCCGGAAGGAATAGTCACATCTTCCAGGAAGTTAATGGAAGGAATAATTGACAATTACTACTCAGACGTCTTCAATAGCCACATCCTGCTCCGCTCATGAGAAATAAATGAGGATGTATATGTCGTCTTTCCGGTCCTCTTTTCCAAAATCTGACACTGTCTCTTCGGCGAAGAATCGACCAAAACCTGTTCTGGAGAGGATAGGATCATTCAGAAAGGAACGAATTTAGGAACACAGGTTATAACCCGTGGACGTCACTACATTCGAAACATGCCACTACTTTGGGCCATTCCAGCGCAGGAAAGAAATGAATAAAAGGTGTGCTGGAACTCTTCACTATTGTGATAACGGGTCGCCCAAGTATCCAAGTGTTCAAACAGAGTGGAAAATGAACGGCGTTTGATTGGTTTTGGCTTGCCCAAATGTGCTGCAATCTCTGAAAAGTGTTGCGATCAAGTGTTATCACACCTGCACAATAATGTTAGTGCTCCTCCATTCTTTGACAAAAGTGTGAATTCATAGAATTTTTAACAAAATCCACCATTTCTTAATGATATTTTTTTGTCGTATTTCTACTGAGGAAAAAACAATGCTTGCAGTGTTAGGTAAGGCGGAAAGCAGAATGGGACCATGAATGAGTCAAAGGAAGATCGATTTCATGGTGAAATTTTTGATATGACAAATATTGCATCAAAATGTCCACTATTCTAGTTTCGACAATGCTATAGGCGTATCTGATGCGCAAGCGCAGAAGAAAAAAGCTTTAGGAAAGAGCTTTTGAGACTTTAGGTGACCAGCGGCGGTTTTTTTTAATTCTTTGCAGTTTCGTTAAAATGTTAAGAATCTCTACGTAAAGCTCCGAGAGAGCGCTGCTAGACCATCCCCAAGTCTCTCAAATAGTGAAAATGAAACAAGTTGAACATGAAGCGGTGCTACCGACTTGAAATATTATTAAGGCATGAGACAACAGAAAACGTCTTTACAACTTCTTGTACGCAGATGATTTGAAAGGTTTGTTACCAGACAAGTGATTCCCCATGCTGAAGCACTACAAATGTGTGCCACCTAAATTGAAAAGAGATCTCCGTTATGAATTCTGTTTTCCTCTTTCTTTAAGAAAAAAATGACTTTCTCTAGGACGAAAAACTTTGGCAAGAATTTGACATGAAGCTTGAAATAATATGAAGTTCTAATACGCTTTTCAAATCCAGATTTGCATTAGAACATGGTTCTGGTGGCACTATCGTTTCTCTCAGTTGGAATCAACTCTTAAAACGTAAGGAAAAAGAAGAGACAAGAAGAAAATTTGATTGCTTGTCTACTTACCCTTGCAGAGCAATTATGCGTCATAATATTTATGGACAACTGGATGAGTTGATACCTACAACAACACATGGTCTCCCGAGTGACCAGTATGATCTCAGTAAAAGTCATTTATTTAAAACGGCTTGCTGTGCCGCACACAACTTTTTTACGGTGTATCTTGTAATCATTCGACAGCTTATCGATTGCAAAGCATTTAAAATCAGAAATCCGTTGCTCAAACTAAATCATTTATAAGAAACCTCAAAAAACTGTTCTCGGACCGCTTTATTGATGGTCAAATTGTGTTTAGCCATTGCTTCAGCTTTATTACTATTATGATTTATGTTTAATGAATGTAACGCCCGGATATAAAATCAGTGAAGTAGATACAGCATAAGTGGGCAAATACTCTCGAGTGCTCGCAACAAGGTGTTTCTGTGATGAACCATAACAACATTTTGTAAATTGTGGCCACACGCCATTCATGCCCATCGAATGACAAGACAAAATCATTTCTGCTATCTTCCCATGCTTGCAAACCATCAGGCCTTTTATTCATCGAAAATTCGTCGTTTATTTTTAGTGAACCAGCCAGTCCGCAAAAGTTGAGATTTAGTCAATGGACCAAGCTGCAGAGCTGCTAAATACTTCTTTCGGCACTGAGTCTTAATACATCACCTTCATGTCAGCTTTTTTCTTCAAATTTATTAAGCCCGGACTTCGTTTCAGTCTTCAACTTGTCACTTGTCGGTTACCTAAAACCAACGTTATGCAGTTTCTGTATTTGACACTGCTTTCTATGTTTGTGCATTGCCACGAATTATCTCATTACCTCCTTGGCAAAGAAGTGTACACTTCAAGACCGTATTCGTGAATTCCCGACCCTCTCTAAGCTTTTGAAGAGTAGTGAAACGATAGGCAAAGAAAAGTGTCGGCGTTTGTAGTTCATCCGTTAATCTACTCAAGGAACATTTCGCACAGCATTTTAATAGCCAGTCAGAAAACACTGAAAATTACCAGAAGCGTTACCTTTCGTCGTTGGTTCCACATGGGCGTCGATGTCCCTAAGTCTTACCGCTGCTTAGTGGCATGGTGGTCTTCCTATGGTTTGTTGGTTTACTCATGGTTTACTACAGTGTTCAACCATTCGCTCTGGTGAACGAAGACAACGCTATCATTATATCTTTCTGGAATATAGATTTCAAAACAGAAAAGCCTCTTTAAAAACATTTTTTATTTCGCGGTCTTTGCCTCGTGTCCCAAAATTCCGCCTGGAAAAAGAAGGAGCCAAATTTTATGTTTCGAAGTACCATTTGCCATAGGAGGTATAAAAAGTGGATAACACTCTATAATACCGCTACCGGTTTTTTTCCGAACTGTAGGCCATTAATTACATGCTGTTCTCTAAACTCACAATAAGTCTTTGTTCCAGAAGGATGAAATAGCATATTAGCGGGAGATGTAGCGCGCGGTATTCGTGCCCGATAAAGTTGACTTTAGCGACCTCTGGATAGTTTCCTGAACAAGACTTGTTAAAAGTACAGTTATTCTTTAAAGAAAAGTGGTTCTGGTTATTAGAAGGCATAGCGGTTGTATAACAGCTAGTAGTAAGTTTTTCCTCCCCGATCGTTCGGATAAACTAACTTGTCAGAGGCAACCAGCCATTTAGCCATAACGTTCCCAGAAAGTCCCATCATCTCGAGCCCAGAAAGTGGGAAAAGCAAGGACTGTGATATACTTTTTAAGGCGTGGTGTTAGATTCAGCGGATTAATAATATCACTGCTGCAATTTACGCATAACTTCTCTACGCAGCTTTCCACGCAGACGTGTGACAGTATGGTTGCACGTGTACGAATTACATTGTGCAAGTCAATTCGGTAAAAGCTTCAAATCGCACAACTTGGTTTGCATTAGTTTCTAATAATTGCGCTTTACTCGATCGTTAAAAAAGTGCAGCAAGGCACATCTTTGGTAGCTGTTGCCAAAACATTAAGAAGATCATTTCCCCAACCACAAGATGGCCCACAACACCACTGGCTTGGTATCGAATTTGCCTATACGACTTGATGGTGCGAGCCAATGAACCACATCGTGGGTAAAAAAAGAACTGGGAAGCTTTCACACAAGCTTTGACTCAAGCATGGATTCCTGAAACAAATAAGTGTCCGACTTGATGTTTACCAATGTAAACTTGTGTACCAATTCCGGTTCTGACGTTCTTCCACAGTGTTATTTGTGAACCATCTGATCCACTTTTGAGATTCACTGAAAAAAGCACCTTGATGACAGAAGTTTGATATCTATCGTTATACAAAATGCTGTTTTCATAAACCTCCTCGTTGGAATGCAGCTCATGATTCCTCTAGAAAAGTAAATCGTGATAATATTTCTAGGCTGCTTTGCACTGTTTTCCGTTTAATCACAAGCACTCAGAGTTATTAGTTACCAAATTTGAAACAAACTGGAAAAGAAAGACAAATGAAGGTCTTCCGAAATTATTCATAGATTACATTCATATATGAAAGAAGGCGGTAGTGTAATGTTAGTGATCCCGTTTATGACACAGACGGTTCACCTGCCCACGAGCTAATTCGACTCTGCACCGAACTCATGAAATCTCTCGTCACTCCGGGTTAGGGAACTTGTACCAGACTTGTTTGGGAGGACATAATTCCAACCATTTTTCGCTTAACGCTTTACCGTCTCATTATGGATGGGAGGTCTTTCTGGGTGTTGGACTGCGATGTACAGCTGGTGGATTAATCCCCTTAGCAAAGTCTTCCAAGCAGAGGAGTCCAGCGTTCCCATAAAGAAGCCCAGCTAGGAGTATACTAATAGCAGGATCCACCACCCTACTGGTATCACACTAGTCGCACGATGGCAATTTTTCCTCTGATCCGCAAGGCGGAAACTGCTTTTGGTGGTGAAGACCTGGGGCTGGTTCGGCTGACCTCGAGATACCTGGGAGCTCCTGTGTTTAAACCAGCAAACACCGAGAAAATGGAGATTACGCTGGGTGGTTGGAGACGCCACTGTGACACACCCGTGAAATCGATCCACACTCCCATGGCCCACTAAGGCTTCCATTCCACCGTGGTCGGTAATAGCCACCAGACTTCTCTGGGAGGATTGGAGCACTGGCTCGATACATCGGAAGGCCACCTCGAGTCATTGTAAAGGCCAAATATGCATTCAGACGCCTCCAGACGGTACCTAATGAAGTCGTAGACATAGTGCTTCCTTTAGGAATTCATCAATGCTTAGACCTTTGTCGCTTACCCTTTTATATATATCCTATATATATACATATATATATAAAGCTCTGAAAGCTAAAAACCCCTTAGGGATGCGCCATGCATGCCACTTCATTAAGCATCGTTTGGAGATGATTAAATGCGTATCTGTCCTTCACAATGACTAGCGGTGGCCACCGATGCGTCGACCCAGCGCTGCTATCCTCCCAGACAAGTATGGTACCAGTTTGCCGACCTAGGAGGGATGGAAGATTTGGTGGGCCAATGGCACGAGGATTGATTTCACCTGTGGGTTGCAGGGCGCTTACGACCACTGCCCAGTACAACATATGCCATTCGTTCCTTTCTTTCGCAATTGTAGTCCATGGTGAAGGTCTTGTTCGAGCATGGTAGCGCTTGCGAATCTCATACCGTGATCTGTAAAGCAACTGCAGCTGCGGGTACAGCTGATTAGCTTTGTTTACGAACACGTCCGCCCAACGTGTAGGTGGTGGTCCAAGGAGACGTTCGCATTCTATTGAAGTCCACTCTACTGTTCTTTTCGTCCATCTGTAGTCTATTCTTCTCATTATGCGGCCGGCCCATCTATGTTTCGCTGTCGATGTATATTCTCCTGGTTCTCAAAGATGTGACAGATTTCGAAGGTTACAGTTTCGCATTGCAGCTACATATTGAGAGTGCCGGTTATACTTCAGAAGATATCGCTCAAACGCTCAGTGAGTAGTTCGAAGCATTCTTAACGTAGTTCAAGTATCAACTCACGTCTCTGCAGCATAGCAGCGCTGTGAGAACCGTAGAAGCAAAGAGATAAGCGCGGATTTTCGGATCCTTCAAATGGTCGGTGGCTTCTTTGAGAGGCCCAAATGTTGCCCAAGCTGCTCTCCTTCATCTACCTAGTTCCCCTTTCATTTTGTTTTCCATGTTCACTGATCGCCCAAGGCAAGCGTACGAGGTGGTGTCTGCAATGAGAGAGCCATCCAATTCTATTTTTTCGCCTTTGCACAGTGTGTTTTTCATGAACTGGGTCTTCTTTCGATTTATGCGAAGCTCGATCTTTTCCCCGCTTCGTTGGCTTCGTTGATTATCACTTTTGCTTCGCTAGTGCTTCTTGAGAAGATGACAATGCCGTCGGCAAAACGAAGGCTTGATAGGAATTTTTCATCAATACGTATGCCTTTCTCATCCCAATCGAGTAACTTCATTATCCACTGCAGTGCGGCACTGAACAGCTTCGGCGACATTGTATCGCCTTGTTGAACCCTTTTTTCTATGGGTATTGTAAGAGGTCGATGAAAAGCTGTGTTTTCATTGTCCAGTTCCGATATCAGTCAGGCAGAGTCCTTTTGTAGGACGGCTCCACTCCTTGGTCAACGAGCGCTGATAGGATTGCATTCGTTTCAACACTATTAAACGCTTTCTCAAAGTCGACAGAGGTTAGGACTTGAGGCATGTTGTATTCCCGACAAACTTCGATGACTCTGAACACGGCTTGGATGTGGTCCATGCAGCAAAATCCTTTTCGAAATCCTGCTTGCTCGACTGGGTGCGCCTCATCCAACGTCCGTGACATGAGCGAAAGAATAGTACTCGTGATGAGCTTGTAGAGTACACTCAACAAGCATATGGGGCGATAGTTACAACGAACATTTCGGTCTCCTTTCTCGCGCAAGATGAGCGTGGGCGACGTCCTCCACTGGTCTGGGATTTTTTGCCTTTGACGGCAGCCTGTCATATGATCTGCGAGAAGAACAAGTAAATTGTGGCCGCCAGCTCTAAGGGAATCGCCAGTGATATTATCGGGTCCTGCGCTATGCCTCTTTTTATGCTTTCTATCGCAACTCGAACCTCCGTTGGAAGAATTCCGGGTGGCACTTCTCCAGCGGGGATATTAGGGCGCAGGACGGGGATTGTGAACGGAAAAGTTGGTGTAGAACATTTCCGCTATTAATCCCATATCATGGCTAGATGTTTTGACGATCTCATCTTCGTTAATCTGGGCCGACAGCGGGACATTATAATCACACAAGTCCTGACGGCATTTTTTCAGACTGCTTCTTTTTTGTGCTGCTTCCAGCAATTTCTTCCGCATGAAACGTTGTAGAACTTCCTGCAAAGGTCTTCTGCGGCTGGCATTTATTACTAGCCATGTTAAACGTTTTGCAGTAGAATCAAGCTTCAGTTTCCTTTTTTTTTGAGCAACTCCTTAGTAGTGATGGAGTTGCGATCCGTTTTTCTTGCTTGAGGAACTAAGGCTAATTCGGCACAGCTATTCAGTGCTTCGACTCGCAGCTCGTAGTCTGGTCTCCCTTAATCTGCCTGTCGCGTTTGGACAGAAATTCGTTCAGGATGTTCTCATCGTTTACAGCTAGAATTTTCCTTGTGGTCGTTGAAGGGAGTTCTTTTCACGCTTGCGGCTGAATCGAATTTTCGCGCGAAGAAGGCGGTGATTGGAACCAGTAAAAAATGACGGGATTACCGATGTGACAAGGAGGCACCATCTTCTGTTTGTGAGAATATGGTCGATCTCCGCATGAGTCATACCGTTGGGAGACTCTCATGTCCAGCGGCGGCTTTCTTTCTTCTATAAAAACGAGTTTCCATGAAGGAGACGTGCTGCTGACGGGAGTCCTGCGAGACGGTTTCCGTTCTTATTTCTTTCTCCTAATTCAAAATTTCTGAACGTGCACTCGTATTTGCACTCGTTAGCTTTTCCTATTCTGGCGTTGAAGTCTCCAACAACAAATTTATAATATGCTTTATTATTGCGGATGACTTTCTCCAACTGTTACTAGAACGTATTTAATTCGTTTTCATCAGCTACGTCGGTCGGTGAGTAGCAGTTGATGATAGTGATTTTCTTATGATGCGGCAGCTGAAGACGGAGGACGGTTATGCGAGGGGTAAGGATTTCGAATGAGTCGACAAGATGGGCAATGGACGGGTGGACGACAAAGCCAACGCCAGCGACATTTCGTGACGGGACCTTTTCACCGCGGATCACAAGCGTCTCGTTGTTTAGTTGGCGTATGTCGGTCTTCTTGATTCTTCTTTCTTGTAATGCGATCACATGAAATTTAGTGCGATCTGCCGCTGCAAGAAGGGCGTGAAGGTCGACGTCTGCTGAAAGTGTTCTGGGATTATATGTGCACAGAAACAAACAATCTCCATGGCATGTCGTGCCTGTGTTCGTCAAATCCGATTCCAATGACGTTCTGCGTAACCTGAGATTTTATATAATTATATATATATATATATATATATATATATATCCTCACAATGGTTTACGGCCTTATCGTGGCTGGGGGAGGAGTGTGTTCCTGGGTGTCGGTATGCGATGCAAATCGGAAAGATTAATCTTCCGGCATGGTCTCCCATGCTAAAAAGGTGTTCAGTTTTTCTATCAGAAAACCCAGCAAAGAGTAAACCAATATCAGGATCTNCCTCTGTTGGTGACATGGAGCATATTTTGGCCTGGCTCACAGCGGGACTCCAAGAAGCCACAATGGCTAGAACAACAGAACTCCGGAAAAATGGTGCTTATGCTGGAGCTTGCACAATCAGTGAGGACGAAGCATTCAAGTATCNGCCAGCGACATTTCGTGACGGGACCTTTTCACCGCGGATCACAAGCGTCTCGTTGTTTAGTTGGCGTATGTCGGTCTTCTTGATTCTTCTTTCTTGTAATGCGATCACATGAAATTTAGTGCGATCTGCCGCTGCAAGAAGGGCGTGAAGGTCGACGTCTGCTGAAAGTGTTCTGGGATTATATGTGCACAGAAACAAACAATCTCCATGGCATGTCGTGCCTGTGTTCGTCAAATCCGATTCCAATGACGTTCTGCGTAACCTGAGATTTTATATAATTATATATATATATATATATATATATATATATCCTCACAATGGTTTACGGCCTTATCGTGGCTGGGGGAGGAGTGTGTTCCTGGGTGTCGGTATGCGATGCAAATCGGAAAGATTAATCTTCCGGCATGGTCTCCCATGCTAAAAAGGTGTTCAGTTTTTCTATCAGAAAACCCAGCAAAGAGTAAACCAATATCAGGATCTGTTACCGTCCTGGTACCAAACTAGTCGCATGGTGGAAAATTTCCCTCTTATCCACAAACACTGCGAATGCCTCTGTTGGTGACATGGAGCATATTTTGGCCTGGCTCACAGCGGGACTCCAAGAAGCCACAATGGCTAGAACAACAGAACTCCGGAAAAATGGTGCTTATGCTGGAGCTTGCACAATCAGTGAGGACGAAGCATTCAAGTATCAAGTTCAATCATATATATATATATATATATATACACCTGTATATAAGCTTTCGTAATTTTCTAGGCGGAAATATTCTCAGATCAACGAAATGGAACTCGCAAGCGCCAACGTGTTCTAAGCAAACCACTAACATTAACGATGCTACAGTGAGAGGGATGCGAATGAAAATGTGGTTGGCTCTGCTCTAGCACTGAAGATGGGCCATCCAGGCAACTAAGCTAAGCAAGCAACATAGATACAATATCGACGCGCTCATTGTGTCGTTTGAATGAGCGGAGATAAAGTGGCTGGTTAGCATTTCGGCAAGGACGGCAGAGGATATTGTCACCGTCCGATGTGGTTAATGAAATTGCACATGGTAGGTAATCGTTCCTTGCGACCCTCAAAGCTATGTTTTCTTTTTTTCAACCCTTTCCTTCTTAGAGATCTCTACGGATGGATCCTAACATTTCAAATTTAATAAAAAATATGAATGACATTGAAAGAACCCAGGGAATCTATTTCCAATTTTAAGCAGAAGAAACCATTACTTGAGTTCTAAAACACGGTATTATCTATAAGCGTTAATTTTGGCGCTGTTAATCGTTCAAACGAAAAATTGGCCTGGGAAAAAAANAAAAAAAGTTAAAATATGAAAAATACAGAAGCGGTTCTATATACCCATTTTCTACTTGATTGAACATACGACGGTGTGTGTGTTGGCCTATCAAGCATAGCAGTAGCTCTCATAAACAATTTTTCTAAATCCATCCACCTTCCGTTGTTATAAAGTTTTAAATGGAAGCATAACTACAAGTAGACCAACGCTGGAATTGTTGTTTTCCTCTTGTCCAGAAGGAAATCCTGCCAAAATCGACGATTCATTCCTCTCAACTTTGCACCCGTCTGTGGATAACTTCGATAACTGCGTGAGATACGGTTATTTCAGAACCGAGAAAGTGCAACCTACTCAGTAAGTAAGATTCCATTTAGAGTTACTTCGCATAATATGTTTATGACATGCCACAATATTTCATTAGCGACATTTCCGCGTAAATCTTCAAAATGTCCACGTTTCCTACAAAGGTTATGTAAGACCGGCCAACTTATTTGTAGGTCACGTTGGCCTGCTGCATACACAGGTGGACGGTGAGCTAAAGATCACAAAGTGGCAGTCGCAGACGTCACCTCTCATAAAGGATAAAAGATGATGCTTTTTTCGTTGATCAATCCCTGAGAGTTGCGCCATCCATATGATTTCACTAAGCATCGTTTGGAGGTGATTGAATGCATATCTGGCCTTTACAACGACTCACGGTAACATATCGANTCGAATGCTGTTATCCTCTCATACAACTCTGGTACAAATTGCCGACCTCGGGGTTGGAAGGCTTGGTGTACCTGACGCGCGCTTTCGAACTCATATTTAACTGTTGGGTTTCTCTAACCACTGCGTCACACACGCATAAGGAAACGAATACTGTACGAGTTCTGGTGGAATCCATAACATTCAAAAATTCCGACTCTTTTAGTGTTTAGTAGTGACCAACTGATGAAGGAAAGAAAGTTTTAGTCTCATCATTAGAAGCTAACACAGTCTTTGCAACGGCCTTTTAATAAACAAAATCCTAAGTTACAAGTGTAAGATGCGACTATGCAAACGTAAGGGTGTTTCGATACGAACGTGAGGCTGGGTGTTTTTTAATTTTCGATACCCATTCGGTACAAGGGATATTCAAGTGATAGGATCACTGACTTTTTTCGTCGAAGTGGATGTACGCTTAACCGATTACTCAAGGACGCTTCAAGGTGTTGAAATTGTCAGTGGTGCTACTAGAATCGAACTGTTTACCGATTAAATGAGAAATAGAATGAAGGACGTTAAAAACATATGGAACCCGAATAAGTTGCTCATGCTACATGAGAAATCAAAACATATAACTCACCACTTCGCTTTCTTAATTTTCCCATAGCCATAATTCAGAATTTTTTTTTCATATTTGGTACCGAGCTGAGCTTCAAGCCTTATCAAACACTACTTTGGAATGGTACCTAGTTACAGAAACACAATCAATGGAGAGGCAGGATCGGTAATTATGTTGAACTACACACTCCTTATCACCGTAGAATGGCTAATGAACGCATGCGAACCTCTGTTTATGTCTCCTTTCTAGTCACAAGACATGAACAGTGCAAATCCAGCTCAAGTATTAACAGCTGTTATTCTAACTTAGCGACCTCTAAAAGTAGCAGCGCTGCACAATCCAATAATGTTAATTTCACTTTTAGTTCACGAATACTACTACCGTATTCTTTCGTGAAATCAGACCATCATGACACCAGATGTCTTCGATCCGATCGTGTCAGACAGAAAGTAGGCAGTAAAATAGTGCACTAACAGATAAGCGTGCATCATCGGGACGAGTTCTATTCTTTTGCGTAATAACTACAACAAAGCAATCTCGAGCTGTGTATGTTATGACAATTCTTGACCGTTAAAAGTACTTTTGGACTTTTTTTGCTAAATTTCCTTGAAGAACTTTTTTCAGCAACATTAAACTTTTGCTGCTTCAGTTGTATTGATATGAAGGAAGGCGGGGCTCCTCACTTCACAATTTCGGTACAACTGCTATTGAATTCGCTTTGAAACCAGTCAGTGATACGATGAAATTAAGCAAGGATCGAAATCTATTGCAATAAATTTTGACCTATATCCTCCCTTTGCCTCTTCTAGATGAAACACTGTCAGCTCATAAAGAATTCAGCATGAGCAACGATAGCGCATTAGTTTTTTGATAGAATGAATCCCCATTCCAAAGATGTAACCCGCTTTTAAGCACATCAGCGTGCGTGGGAAGCTAGCTTGGTGTTTACGGAGAAATTGTTGTGCACTAGGTAACATATAACGCAAATTTGAATCCTATTCATGAATTAATAATTCATTACATTATTTACCAATAGACATTGGCGTTATACAACCATTTCTGCATAAGCGGCTTGAGGCTCGACTTCATAACTATAACAGGCTATATTTTTATAACAGACTATATTACAGTCTAGAAGTCCACCAAGTAGTCTTGACTGAGCACCTCATGGAAGCTACAGATCTCCTTAACACCTCAGGATTCACGAGAATTCTTATAAATCCCAGTATATTTCCACCTAGACAGGAAATCTTCTGGTTAATCAAGATCCAAATTCTCTGCTGCTTCGAATGTCGTTGCAAAAATCTCCTAGAATCGCCACTCCATACGAGTTAGTAACTAAGTCGCTCTCGGTGTGGTTGTGATTACATGGACTGGTTTACATATCCAGATGGAAATTGAGATCAAGCCCTTAATTTGAGTGCTTCTTTGAGTAGGGAAACCTCCTACTGTATATCGTAATTCAGTGCATTGAAAAGCCGCAGCCAAAAGTATTCCTTTTGGTATAGCAATGGAGAAATCTTACCCAAAAAAAAAGAATCTACCGATGATCTCTTCACAGATGGAATACTTGTGTGAATGTGTTCCCACTTACTTGGATGGTATTCTACTACTCAGTTCGGCCAAAAGCTTGCAATCAAGCGATTGGGAGGCACACAGCAGGCAGTTAGGATTCGAGTGCGACAAATATGCTCTTTGTTCACTCTACGAGAGACTGGCATGCTATCTATGGGCATATCCAGCTTCCACGTTCGAGGCTCAGCACGCTACACGTGAATTTCAAGGCTTGTGCACAGCGAAATAATTGGGCCTCATTTCCTTGACTTGGATAGAGCTCCCCAGGATTATGAAGACCAGTTCGCACGGGATGCTAAAATCTCATGAATATTCTAAGCTATCTATATCCCGAAGCACTATGGTTACTAATTGTACCTGAAATAAACGATCACTTGCATCTGAATCCTCTATAGAGAACGTGATCGTGCAATCAAGGAAAAGGTATGGCGTTATCGGATTGGCTTGGAAAAAGGCGACATCCATTAAACGACTTTCATGACACTGGAGAAGAACTGCTCCTCAGAACATGTGACAATAGAGGAGTTGGCGGCATTCTCTTCAACACGGATTTAACCACGAACATCGACTTACTCGAACAGCTGACAACCAGAATCGGATGTTTAGTGTAGAAGAGATTGGATCAATAGCGGCTTTGGCAATCCTCGTTGTCTAGGCACCTATATCAAGCCACGATGGAGGTGAGGTCGAAACGTTCTATATAAAGACGTTTTACAGAGGAGACTCTGCATTCCTAATGGTCCTTATTAGAGATATCAACGTTAAGAATACCCAAAAATGCTGCCAAAAAGGTCACATTGGGACTTGGAATGGAACAAACTGATGGCCAATAAGATTTTCATTAAAAAGTGGAGGACTGTCTAAATTTACCATGATGACGAAGACCATTCATGGTATTTATTGATGTGATCTTCTTAAGATGATATTATGATATTATGATCTAACTGATCTTCTTAAGCTGACGCGAGGTTGGTACGGGTCTTCGTTGTCGTTGTCGTTGTTTTTGATGTTACTGATGGATGGCTGATGTTTCGGCGACTTCGCCTTCCTCAGAGCCGTGATGTTACGTGTGGGACTGGCCGACGCGTTCACACAGTCCCACATGTAACATCACGGCTCTGAGGAAGACGAAGTCGCCGAAACGTCAGCCATCCATCAATAACATCAAAAACAACGACAACGACAATGAAGACCCGTACCAACCTCCCATCAGCTTAAGAAAATGAGTTTATAAGACCACATCAATAAATATATTAACTATCTATGTCGAGGTTTATAGAAAGTCGGTCTTTCAAGTTATTAAAAGATGTACCATTCATGGTAACTCACAATTCCATAATCCTCGCTCTCAAAAGGAGACTCTACCTATGAAGGACAGCAAAACGGAATGAACCGCATCATTGTAAACCAAAGCACTGCCTGGACGACTTCGCCGTCATCTCGAAATTCTACGGAGGGTCAGATCATCGCCTTCTTCATGCAAGTTTCCAATTTTTGCGGAAAGGAGGTAAACCTGTTAGCTTCAAGAACAGAATTCCTAAAATCACCAAAAACTGGGTTTATTCAGTTATTCAGTTCATTATTCAGCTAATGGGAAGGAACCGTTGACGATAACATCAACGAATAATGCAATTGGCTAATTAAACATCTTCACGTTAGCGCTATGAAAGCTGAGAGTTCGAAACTCACCAAGAGACGTCTGTCGCCAGAAAAACTCGAGCTGGTACACTATCATGGAATCGTCCTGGCTAGAGACAACGGCCAATTCCCGTCCGAACCTACAAAACAATGCAGGTAGACGACTGAAGAGAATCCTAAAAAGAGAATAGCAGCAGCTCCGGCCGATGCGTCTAGCGAAGCTCCAATAATTACACAACCACGATGATTCCCCTCCGATGGCCAAACGGAACAGTTGCAGGTTCAAGAAAGGTGATAGAGAAAATTGTTCATGATTACTACTCCGAACTCTTCATTTGAAAGGACATCCTGCCTTCATGTGAAATAAAGAAGAATATGTCGTGCTTCCGGCTTCCGCTTTCGAAATCCTCTCTTCCATTCTGTCGGTGAAAAACTGAACAGCATTAGCTCCGGATGGGAAGTGATTGAACACCTTAAAAACCTCCCGCCAGCCCTCACTGAACGCACCGGCTCGGCTCATCAGACGTTACCTGCCAAAATGCAAGTTTCCCATTCAATGGAATATCATCAAGAATGCGTTATTGTTCAAGAACTATGGCCTCTACGATATCGGCACCTATATCCAAATGTTTTTGCTATTTTTCATCTGCAAGCTTTCATGCGATTCATCATAGAAGTGATAGAACAGTGGATAAAAAGAGAGCTGTGTGGACACGTAGGATTTCGAAAAGGATTCTGTGCGATAGACCACATCTGCACAATGACCAGATTCAGTAAACTATCTCAAGAAAACAGGACACGTTCTCTTCTGCTTTCAACGAGTTAAAGAAAGCTTTTGACTCATTTATTTATATGATCTTATAGACTGATCTTCTTTAGCTGACGTAAGGTTGCTAAAGGTCTTCGTTGTCGTTTTCGTTGTTTTTAAATGTTGTTGTCGATGGCTGACGTTTCGACGACTTCGCCTTCCTCAGAGCCTGGACGTACTTTATATTAGAATATTTTTTATTATTCGGTGGGAAAGAAAGGTTAAAGTATTAATAAAGATCAAACTTTCAAATAGACGCCATATTGAACAGAAAGGCCACTCACCGTGATGCTACGTGTGGGACTGGCCCACACGTAGTTTACTTCGGGTCACGAGCAAGACACACTCCGGGGCCAAAATATCATTTTGAAATGGGGCGCCAGGTCATGCGTGATAGTGAGGCATTCGTCCTTCCAGTTCATCTTTGGATTCTTGAAATTTATCCAAAACGCCTCAAGCGTTTTGCGCGTTGATGTTTTGATTCCTGCGCTAGGATCCGAACAGTCACTTCAAAATCATCGCCGTTGTGCTTTTGTTCCCTATGCGCACCTAGAGGAGTGTTTAGACGTATTTTAACTTTCCCATCTAGATGTTCTTTTATGCGGGCACAAAGTGGTCTACCCGTTTTTCCCAATATATTCCTCGCCGCATGCATTACATGAGATCAAGTATATTATACCTCAACTCATGCAATCCCCGTCTCTCCCGCTAGGACAGATCGTACAGTTATCTTAGCTGCACAAACGATCATAGAGACGACTCCGAACTAGCTGGCGGAGTAGGGTATTGGGTGGAATGTCGATAATCATTACACAATTTCCAAGCTCACTTTTTCTTAAGCATCTCCTAATGACGTGACTTACTTCATTTGATATGAAGGGTAGCTTAAAGATGATTTTACACAGGTCCGAAGCATTATTTTCGCGAACTACCCCCCTTTTGTCTAAGGTGGAAGCTCCAGTTCTCGATCACCGACCCTCACTCTACTGTCGATAGATAGACGACTGCTTCATCGTCTGTTCCACACAAGAACAGATGGATGAGTGCGTTGAATTGTTAAACCGACAGCCAGAGTATATAAAATTTACACGAGAAAAACTAACCGAGAGCTGGCTTCCATTCTTAAACATACAAATAAAGCTTTCAGTAAGTGGCTATATAACAAAATGGTATAGCAAACCAAGTGGTGAAAACATTCTAGCTCACTACCTCTCCTCTCACCCTTCACACATGAAGAAACCACCTATCAAAAACATGTACCGTACGGCTAAAAATGTGTGTACAGGAGAAAAGGAATGAAAGGAATCGCAAAATTTGGCATGAAAAATTACCATTTCCAATGGCTACGAAGTAGAAGCCACTCGAGTTAGACAAAAATGTAGAGTAGTTTCCTAAAATAATGTTTCGGACCTAAGTAAGATCCCCTTTAAGCTACCCTTCGTATCAAATGAAGTAAGTCACGCCATTAAAAAGTGCTTAAGAAAAAGTGGCCTTGAAAATTGTGTAATGATTATCGACATTCCACCCAATACCCTACTCCGCCAGTTAGTTTGGAGCCGTCTCTATGATCGTTTGTGCAGCTCAGATAACTGTACGATCTGTCCTAGCGGGAGAGACGGGGATTGCATGAGTTGAGGTATAATATACTTGATCTCATGTAATGCATGCGGCGAGGAATATATTGGGGAAAACGGGTAGACCACTTTGTGCCCGCATAAAAGAACATCTAGATGGGAAAGTTAAAATACGTCTAAACACTCCTCTAGGTGCGCATAGGGAACAAAAGCACAACGGCGATGATTTTGAAGTGACTGTTCGGATCCTAGCGCAGGAATCAAAACATCAACGCGCAAAACGCTTGAGGCGTTTTGGATAAATTTCAAGAATCCAAAGATGAACTGGAAGGACGAATGCCTCACTATCACGCATGACCTGGCGCCCCATTTCAAAATGATATTTTGGCCCCGGAGTGTGTCTTGCTCGTGACCCGAAGTAAACTACGTGTGGGCCAGTCCCACACGTAACATCACGGTGAGTGGCCTTTCTGTTCAATATGGCGTCTATTTGAAACTTTGATCTTTATTAATGCTTTAACCTTTTTTTCCATCGAATAATAAAAATATTCTAATATAAAATACGTCCAGGCTCTGAGGAAGGCCAAGTCGCCGAAACGTCAGCCATCGACCAACAACATCAACAACAACGATAACGACAACGACAACGAAGACCTGTACCAACCTTACGTCAGCTTAAGAAGATCAGTTTATAAGACTATATAAATGAATATATCAGCTATCTATGCCAATGTTTATGGAAAGTCGGTCTTTCGAGTTTTTGACTCAGTTGAGAGAGAATCAGTCGTAGGACACCTGGACAGCCAGGACACTACTACTCAGTATTAAAGACTCTTTGTGAGCTGTGTAAAGACCTCACAACGGAAATATCACCATTTTGCAACGATATTAACAGCGAGGTTAAAAGAGGCCTTAATCAACGCAACACCATCTCCTCAAAATTATTTACCTCCACTCTCAAGAAGGTCATGAGATCACTGGATTGGGACAATATGGAATTGAAATTCGATGGTCGACATCTACACTATTTTCGCTTTGATGATAACGTTTTTATAATACCAAGCATTAGTCAGGATGATCCAATATTTGCCGACTTTGATAAGGTCTGTCGAAAGATTTGATCTCGGTTAAATCTCATAAAAACGGCCCACTTGAGGACTGGACTGATTAGTTTCGTGTGCCTCATCCATACTGCGCTGAACGAATATCTTCGAGTGTTCCAGGAACGTTTATCTGGCTCGAAAAAGCAAAACTATGAACAACATAGCTCAGGGGCTGCGCAAAAAGAAAACGCGGTTTGGGATGCACTCAAGAACATCGCAGATGCAATGAGGAGAAGAAAGGACAACCGATGACATACCTTCCTTTTTGAACATACGATTCTCCCCACCTAAGTTCATGCATTAGAAACTTGGTCGTTATGCAATCACGATTAGAGAGCACTAGCGTTATAGAATGGTCAATCAAAAAGGCGATGCTGAGAGTATTTTGTACTATGCATTTGAGTGAGGGAATCCATTCTCTGATCTTCGTCAACGACAAAAAATCAAAAACGCCGTTCTGTATGTTAGACTTTCGAAGACAAGGTGCGTTGGGAACGTAATGCGTGTGAAAGACAACCGATGGACAGAAGCTGTTAGTGGTTGTGTTCTTCGGAATGTCGAACGTGCTGTAGAAAGTCCATGGACCTAATGGTCGGAGCTCTTTCCGAAACTCTAAAAAGGAAGATGTAGTGCTCAACTAGGTACTAGGGCAGGCGGTTGCCACTAAACTACTCCTGCACGCCACGGAAGAAATGGAAGATTTACTATCGCCCACTCAAATCACTCGACGAACAACGAGACACTAGGTCACAGTTGACACTGCGTCTTACGTTCAGATAACCTTTCATAACCTTTCTGCTAACAGCGTGCTTCTTCGGTGGAAATAGCGATAGAAGTTTCTACAAAATAAGCGAAGACTGGGTTCACATGAAAAATCAGCTCAGGCATACCGTATTTTCTTTATTCCTGTTATGTAGATCATTGATTAAAATGTATCCTCTTTCTGAGGAAGATGTATCACTATGCTATAGGTCATATCGAAGACAGTAGAGTTTAAAAGCTGCCAGGTCATTGCCTCAGAATTATTACACTCTTTTTTAACATTGTCGATTTTTCCCGAGATACGAACACTCTGTTATATATCGTAATCCCGCACTAAAATAGCAGATAGCTGAGTAATGAGCCTCATTCAACAACACGGCTCTTCGGCCTCATAACGGAATATTGAAATATTTTATAACATTTTAAACGCTCAACATTCTTGCCAAGGAAATACGAGACGTTGCTTTATTTTTATTTCGTTAAAGGTGACGTTACTGCACTATCGCCATCTTCAGAGCCAGGAAAGGTATTCTGACTAGCGATTTACTATGCCAAAAGCTTAAAAACACAAACAGAAAAACGAAAATCTATGTGGCAATCACATGATCATCACGTTCTCGAAAAATCCACCGTTCTTACGTGCCGTTCACCGAGGAAGAACCGCTAACTTGAGTCATATATGGTCGATGAGTGCACCACCCCACATCAAAAATCGATGTGAAGGTACAAGGCGAGATCACGTGAGATATTCGGGCATTCCACCCTCCTCTTCATTGTAGGAATTTTAGCATTAATATGCCGGTTCTTTTCCAGTGGAAGGCACATAAAAACATTGAGGTTTTCTAGAAGCTATTGATCGTGTGGTTCCCATTTAGATCTTCATCTTTCTGTTTGTCTTATTGAAGCGTTTGGCTTAGTAAATTGCATATTATACCCTTCAGGCTACGAAGAGGACGATACCGCCGGAACGTCCACTCTAACGGGATATAAAATGAAGTGAGACTTCGAATTGGCTCAACAAGAATACTGAGAACTATCTGATCAATGCCGACGTTAATAGAAAGCCGGTCGTGGGAGCTTTAAGCATTATTCTTTGTATGCTTTAATGTCAGATAATTTGTAACAGATAAAGAGGGCACTGCTCTCTACACGCTATTGTTGACAAGAGGGTTTTAGCTTTCCAAGAACAAATTACCGAAAAAAATTCAGCAATACCACTGCATTATCTGCAGACGATTTAGTATTGTTTTCTCAAAGTTATCTGTTAAACTTCAAAAACTTTCCTTTTTCGGCCATTTATTAAAACTTCGGCTATTTAACAAAGATTGAAAAAACGTCTACGGAGTTGCAGGAAACCGTAAGTACACGCTACATGAGGCTAATTTGTTGTCCTGTTCCACGAACATTTCTCAACATATGGTGGTGTGCGGCTGGTCTTCATCATTACTTATTTGATACTCAAACGGCCCGTCCTCACTAGTTGTGCGTGCTCCAGCACAATCTCCATTTTTCGGAAAGTTCTTCGTTAAGTCATTGGAGGTCCCTGGAACCCCCAGGTCAGACAGGCCAAAGGCTCAGACCTTCACCACAACATGCAGTGGCAGCTCTTGTGGATCACAGAGTGATTTGCTACCATACGGCTTTGATACTAGGACGGTGGTGGATTATGGTATTGGTTTACTCTTACCTAGGCTTCTTGATGGAAAGGCCGGACTCCTTCTCAGTTTGGAAGGCTCTGTCGGAAAACAAATTTTCTCTGTACATCGCAGCCCGACACCAAGGAACACCTCCCAGCCAAGATGAGGCGGTAAGCCGTTGGGAGAAACTTTATCAGTAATAAGAATAAGTGTAGAGCTGGTACAAAGCTGTGAATGCCTAAAGCAGCCACTTATTATGCGACTGATATTCGCGCTTTAAATTTTTTCCTGAGGTTATGGACACACTCGGCTGACCAAACGGTGTGTCAACTCGACAATTTTAGGCTTTGAAAAAGGTGAAGTCCGCCTAATTGGCGACCAACGTGAGTAAATGTGATAAAAAAAAACCTCGTGTTTGCTCAACAAGAAAAAGTGAAACAGTGAATTAGGTATCTTGAATTAACACCCAGGTATATAAGCTCATTTCTTTTAGTACTTTTAGCATATTTTTACACTCTCACTGAGCGTGGCTCTCTTTAGCAGAAGTTATATGGCACTCTTTTTGCTTTTCGTACTACTACGCTGTGCGAACTTTAAAAGCTTTTCACCTTCCTTTAACGTACTTTCCCATCTCTTGTAATATCTCTGTGTGCTGATCTCCTGATTACTTGCGCAATTTTTATATATCTTTGTTGATTTTGTCGTGCCATTATTTGTGTCTTAATAATGCTTATGCAAAGGTTTGCTTATCCAAGTTTCGTGCAACAACATCTCAGTGATCAATTTCGATTTGTGCTTCATCCGTTGAAAAAACTCGAAGGCGTTAAAATATCCAGTTAAGGATGGCGATTCATATTCGCGCTCATATCCATGTTTTCGTGCTAGGCACACCGATAAATTGAACAGGAAAAAAACATTATTGCGATGGAGAAAGAGACCTACAAGCTAGCGAACGAAACATTTGTATTCAACCGACGTGCAAATATCTTTTATACTTCTTCTTAACAGAAAAGCATTTCTCGGCTTTAGATGGCAGCACAGTTGAAGACGGTTGGACGATTAGAAGATTTCACGAATTCAGAAGACTAACCACAACCACTTACTGACATAAAATTATCTTAACTTTCACCGAAAAAATATACAGCCAAATTTTTGCAAAAGTGGAGAGGTGCAGTAAATTCATGCCTGATAGTGCCACACTGATAAAAACTGCAAGTACAGAAACTGTTTGAGGGTCGAAGAGGTGAATGGTCTCTGGTTGTGGTGATCGCACGACCTGCGTTTCATTTACGGCGTTCCAGAATGCATTCAACGGCATCTAATATATAAGCAACTAATAGTAGGAGAATACAGAGCAAATACCCGGAATCAAATTGTTTATTCTAATATTCTATTTTCCATCATAATCATCAGAAAAGGTGAAAATTTTGGCAGAACAGCCACCACCAGCAAACGGCACTCTCGATCCACACCATATCCACTAGCCAACCGTCTCTTCGGGAGTGTAAAAACTGGCACTAGATTTATTTTAAGCCTGCTGACTTCTTAAAAAGGATAAAATAATAAAGCTCTCGGCGTTAATCAATCTCTGATGGGTGCGTCATGGCTTCGATTTCATTAAGCATCGTTTGAGGTGATTGAATGCACATCTGGCCTCTACAATAGCTCGCAGTGGCCTAGCGATGTACCAAACGAGCGCTGCTACCATCCTAGACAAGCCTGGTACCAATTTGCCCACCTCGAAAAAATAAAAGGCTTCGTGGGACATGGGCGCAGGAATCGATTCCACGTGTGTTGCAGGGCGCCTTCGACCAATGCGCACGTGTCCATCCAGAACGGCCATGGTTGTTAATGCAAAGGTTTTATGACAATCAGTTTAAAAAATATTGATTAACAAACTTGACAGATCACAGGAATTCTTAGTATTGGCCAGAATGGCAGGTCTACTGCACTTAATGAATTCGAATACGTAACAAATTGCTGAGAGAGTAACCAACGCTGGTGGTAGCCATGCCGTTCGATAAGCGCAAAGTCCAGAGTCGGTCACCCACATGCCAATTATGTTCGCTATCCCATCGAATTCAGGAAGCTGGTATTCAGAGTGGTCTGTGACAGGCTTGCGCAAATGCTGACAACTTCTTCTGATGAAGGTGTTTGGTTGCTTCTGAAGGGCTATCCTAAGATTAAAAACCACTGTTCAACGACATTTACAAACAAGATCAAACATCCTCAAGGCAGCACAAGCAACGTTCAGAAACCGGAAGCCTCTGTGGATTACGAATTTCGTAAAACGCGCCGAGTGAGTGCAGTTTGTGCTGGGACGCGAATAACATGTATGTGGGCTCGTGTAAAAAAAACAATCTTGCTACGTCAACGTTTGACGAACACAATAAGAGCACGGCCATGTTCTCTTGAGCGACGATTTGATTTATAAGTAATTTTGAAAAGATTTCACGCAATCAACCAAGGCAATAGTTCAAGCTGTGTGTGACGAGAACATTCTGAGCTAAATCCTATACAAACTGATGGAAGGTTAAGGAATGCCCGAGCAAAGACTACGAAGTGTTTGATGAAGGACTGAAAAGATGTGCCGAATTCGCCTGAGCTCCTCAAGCAGGAAGATCAGATCACATCTCTATCACCATTGAGGAATTGCACGAAAGGAGAAAGAATCTCGAACTTGACCTTGCTGCAATGCGCTTTTTACCTTTTTACGTTTACATACGTAGCTCCAGTTGTTTTACAGATCACAGTGTGGAATTCGCACCCCCACCCTGCTCAGGTTAGAGCACTGCCATTCGCGACGATTGCGAAACAAATGAAACAAATGGCAAATGTGCTGGTGTCCGCACCACTCTTGAAGACGGGACGTCGGAGTGTTCAAGTAGGTATACATTCGAGGCATGCCAACAATCTTCTTTAGCATTCGTTCCAGGTCCATACTTCTTTGTGTTTCTTTCAGATATGTACGTACATAGGGCATAAGTGAGATCAGTTTAACAATGGCCGTCTCCTCATTTTCATTTAAGGGTCACATTGGCGGTGTTTGGTAGATACAGTATTATGCGGTTTTCTCAAAGACTGAAAATCACTGTTTCTCCATAATAAACAAATGTATATGAGATAAATATACATTTTTATGTATGTATATAGATATATGCACGGTGCACAATTTAATGTTCTGAGACGAATTCAAAATCAATTCTTTATCGTTAGGACGATGAGTACCTGAAAAGTCGTGTTCGCTTCATGCTATCGACGTTGTCTACGGTTGTATTACAACAAACTTGCTTGGATAGTTGGATGTATCGTCCTCAATGGTTGTGCGGGCCCAGGCATAATCTCCAATTTTTCAGAGTCCTGCTGTCCAATCATTGTGGTTTTCTGGAGACCTGAGTTAAGTCTAGCAAAATTCTGCCCCATATCATCACCATCACATAGAGGGCAGCCGCTCTTTTGAATAAGGGGGAGATTTGCCACCCTTTTGACAAGAGGAAGATTTGCCACCATGCAACTAGTTTGATAACGGTGATGGATCCTTGTATTGGTTTACTCGTACTTCGGGTGCCCTGATGGAAACGACGAAGTCATTTTCAGCTTGAAAAGTCTATCAGTGGAGATGAATGTGCTTGCTGTACATCGCAGCACGCCACACAGAAGGAACACCTACCAGCCATCATGAGGTGGTAAGGCGTTGGAACGCCACGATTCAATTATTACCACGGAAGTTTATAAAATCGCCTTGTTGTAACACATATCGGTGCAGGATTTAAAACGAAACTCTTGCTAAGACGTGGGCAAGGAAAATTAAGTAACAAATCTCACACTGATTTCTGAGCAACCTTATAGGTGGGTAGACGGCGAAGATGTGGTGTATGATATTGAAAGGTTTTCAAGTTCTGCAACAACGCGTGATCATTTTTTACCAAACGATCAAATGTGGTTGACGACAATGAAGGATGATTGAATGAAGGTGACAGCTGGCTGAAAATAAACTAGGCCAGCCTAACAATTCGGACTGACAGCAGGTTTTAAAATTCTCTAACCTCATCCTCCTACCGAAGAAGTAACATATAGAACACTAAAAGGTAGATTCGCCGGAACGACTTCCTTTACGTATTACGAAGACAAGTGGTGTCGAATGTCGAAGTATTTAGAGCAGAAGACCTGGTTGGCCTTTTCCATTGTTTTTCGGAACTCACTGTTCTGCTTTGTCCGGTTGTCGAAGAGTGGCCATGTTGTTCATGTAACTGGTAAAGCATTGAGTTCCGCTCTGGATTCCTTCAATTACTTCTATACTATTAAGCAGAACTGCTGCTAATTATTCCCGGTTATCTTCGCCCGGCGATCTACAACGGCTTTTAAACTTGTTCGCAACTTACTTGTTGCCTGTTGTACCTCAATCGTTTTTGGGCAGTCAGGTCTGGAGTCATCTAGTGACTTCGAAACTTACAGTCTTCTTAACATAACATGGGGTATTGAGTGACCCGTTTACATTCTTCTTATTTGTTACCAACACTAGCATCTTTTTCTCCATATAAGTGAAAAATTCGAATTTATGACGGCTGACCAATTTGGCTTTGTAAATCTTCTGCCGTTCCATTCTAAACTAAAAGTGTTTTTGAAGTAAACGAACAGACCGACCTGAGGTAGAAGCTTAACGAATTCACAACATTCGCTGGACAAAATTTGATTCATGGCGGTTAACTTAAGTGCGTCAGCTTCAGTTTATTTATTATTCAACCCACATTCACATCTACTGCGCCGATCTCAACAGTTCTTGCATTCAATTTTTTACTGTTTTCTTATTTTTCACTGCTTTTAGCAAGATGAAGAAGAATTGTACTCCTCAAATCTGAGTTCGTTTCAAGGCAAGGAAAAATCCGCTTGAAATTAGTCCTCTTGAAACCAGCTTATGAGCCTCCAGAATTCTTTCTGAAAGAATATCACACTTCCAATTAGTAACGCATGCAACTTCATTAGTTATGGAAGTGATAGCAAGTCGTATTTAAATCATTTTCACCACTTGTAGTTAACGTTAATGGCTTCACTGTCTCTGAAGCACTGTTGACTAGGAGAGTACTCCCGTGATCCATAAAACGTTTTTAGCCAGGAATTTAGCAGGTTAAAGAGAGATACGGATCTCCCTCATATGACGGATCCCGTGCCGGTTAGTCGCGAGGATACATTGCGAGTCGCCAGGTGGCTGATAGAGGGTTAATTGCGGACCAAAAGCGACCCTTGCTTTTCTGAGGAGCAGTTGGATCAAGAGCATGGACTACCCGTCTCTGTCGCACCGATATAGCACACGCTTTCTCTATTAACGAGGTGTATTCATTCATGAGTGTGTTTGTGCATTATACTTTATGGCGATTGTATTTCGGCAACAAGCGTGCAAGCAAGTGGAAGAAAAATATGCGGAGGAGGCGGTTAGAGTAGCCTCCAACAAATAAGCTTCATGTCCACTCTGGGAGAGACTGGCAAGCTACCCGTGAGTATACCCATACCCCACGTTCAGAGTCCAGCAAGCTATATGTGGGTATCAAAAGACAAAAACAGTAAAAGAAACAGGCCTTATTCTCCTGAACCTGAAAGAGCCTCCAATTTCTCAGCGTCGAGTGCGGAAAGCCTGCTAAAATCTCAGAACCAATTTAAGCTGCCTGGATGACGAAGAACTAAGGTGATGATCTGTACATATATTGCACTCACACCTGCATCCGACTGTTCAATAGAAGACTTGCTCATGCAAGTAAGAAATTTAAGGTACGACGTCATCGGCCTGGTGGAGACGAGACGACGCCACCCTTTCAACGCCGTCTATGACACCGGAGAAGAACTGTTCCTCGGAACATGCGACAGTAGAGGAGTCAGCGTCGTCGGCGTTCTCGTCAACACGAGTTTATCCATGAACATCGACTCATTCGAACAACTAACAACCCGAGTTAGACGTTTACGATTGAGCGGGTGTGGACCAACACCGACTCTGACAACCTTCGTCGCTTACGCGCCGACATGAAACTATGACGAAGAAGAAGTGGAAGCATTCTATATGAATATGGAGAAGTTTTACAGAGAAGACCATACATTCTTCAAGGTCAACATTGGAGATTTCGATGCCAAGAGTGGACCAAAATGAACGTCTGAAGAAGGTCAAATTGGGGCCCACGGATTAGAATGGAACGAATAGGGTGAGCGGCTCTCCCAGTTTATCATGACGACTAAGACCATTCACAGTTACTCGCAATACCAGAAGCTCCGCCATCAACGCTGGACTTTGGAGTCTCCCAATCCGGAGTGCCATAACGAAATAGACTGCATCATAGTAAATAGAAGGTTTCGCCTGACCGATATCGCTGTTCTCCAAAAATTCAACACGTTACGAGATTATCGCCGCTTGCGCACAAAATTTTATTACTCGCAAAAAGGAGAAAAGTCGCTAAATTTAAAAACGAGGTCCCAAAACCACCATAAACTAGGAATTATTCAATCCATTAGTGGGTTGTTGGAGAGATGCCGTTCTCGACAACACCGATGAAACATACGATCGGCTCATTCAATATCTTCACGTTAGCGCTGCGAAAGCTGAGGTTTCGAAAGTCACAAAGAGACGTCTGTCTCCACAAACAGGTGAGCTGATACGCCAGCGTGGAATCGCACGAGCTGGTATGCAATCGCGAACTATTTTCCGAAATGAGGAGCAGTGCATACAGGCGATAAAGGAAGATCTCAAAGGGGAAAAGCAGCACTTATCGCTGAAGCTGCAGAGGCAGGGAAAACATTCGCAAAGCTCACTGATCTTCTCCAATTACAAGACCAAGATGATGCCCAGAGGAAACACTCACAGCGTCCGGAAAGGCAATAGAGAAAATCATTTGCCAATACTGCTCAGTCCTCTCCAATAGCCACGTCATCATTCCCTCATATGAAATAAAAAAGAATGGATATGTCGTACCACCGGTTCCCCCTTCCCAAATCCGAAATACCATTTCGTCGGTGAAAAACTGAACAGCACCAGGTCCGGACAGGATACGATCAGAACACTTGGAGAACCTTCCGCCACACCTCGTAAACACACTGGCTCGGCTCTTCACACGTTACCTGTCTGAATGCAAGGTCCTTACTCGGTGGAAGACCAGCAAGACCGTGTTATTGTTCAAGAATGGTGACCTCCACGATAACGGCAACTATCGCCCAATCTGCTTACTGTCTGTCGTCTACAAACTTTTCACTCGAGTCATCCTAAACAGGATTGACAGAACGCACGGCGAAGGGCGACCACGTAAGCAAGCAGGATTTCGGAGACGATTTAGTACGATAGACCACATCCACATGATAACAAGAGACACAGAAGTATTGCGAGAGTACAAAAGACCGCGCTGTCTCATATTCATCGATTTATAAAAACTTTTAACTCAATTAAAATAGAATCAGTCACGGGAATCCCTTGATAGTCAAGGAGTCCTTACTCAGTACATAAAGAAAGCTTTGCAAAAATTTTAGAACCAAGTTATCACCATTCTACAATATTATCATTGATGTCAAAATAGGGATGAGGCAAGGCGACACCATCTCGTGAAAATTATTTACCACCACCCTCAAAAACGTCATGCGAACATTGAGATGGAATAATATGGGAGTGAAAAACGATGGTCAGCAGTTACATCATCTTCGCCTTGCTGATGACATCGCCCTTATAACACCAAATATAAGGCAAGCGAAACGTATGCTTGCCGGCTTTGATAAAGCATGTGGAAAGATTGGTCTTCGACCAAATCTCATAAAAACGATGTTCATGAAGAACGGATTGGTTTCGTATGCCCCACTCACGCTCAACGGAACGAAGATGCTCCAGTTATGTCTATCTAGTTCGAGAAATCAACATGTTGAAAGACTTAGTTCGAGAGCTGAGCAGAAAGAAATGAGCGGCCTGTGGAGCTTTCAAGAGCGTCGAGGATGTAGTGAAGGAGACAAAGAACTCCCGACACCGTGACCATCTTTTCGACTCAACGGTACTTCCTGCCCTAACGTATGCGCCAGAAACTTGGTCGCGGCGTAAGCAGGATGAAAGATCACTCAGCGTTGTCGAACGCACAGTCGAAAGGACGAAGCTAGGAGTATCCCGTTTCCCACAAGTAAGGTAAAGGACCCGAAGCCCTGACCTGCGTCAGCGATTAAAAATCAAAGATGCTGTTCTGCACGCCAAACAGTCGAGGGGAAGGAGGACCGGACACGTGATGCGTTTGAATGACAGCCTGTGGACAAGAGCCGTTAGCGGCTGGATTCCTGGGCAAATTAAACACGTTGCAGGAAGACCACCGATCCGAAGGTCAGAGTTCTTCATGAAAAGCGCGAAAGAATGATATGATGTTCAACTAGCCCCTAAAGCGAGCAGTACCCACTAAGCTACTCTCGCACGAGAGAACATACTGACACTGGCTCGAGTCACTCGGCGGTCAACGTAGTTACAGGTGATACACGTGATGGCGGGCTACAGACAGACATGTACTCCCACTTCATAGACAGCTCCCCTAGACGACGCTTGCACATTTTGCAGGCCACTTCATCGTTATTTTTTCCCATTTATGGTTAAATGTTTTCATCACAAGGTCTACTGATATGTGTTTCCCATGTAGGCTTCGTTCTCAGTCTAATGTCACTCTCAATTTCAAACAGCGAAATATTTTTCCAAGATGTTAACAACGACGTTAAGCCCGCGCTTTCTTTAATAGTAGGAAACATTGCTCATGCCCTCTGTTTGTGCTGCAAAATCTTCAGCTTAAATGAAATGACTGCCAATATTCTAGATGCCTCATACAATGCTGCGAAATACAACGAAGTGTTCATACCTCAGCAAAGCCACCTAAGTCGAGGACGAGTCCGGCTCTTTCATCCAGAAGCACAAATAGAAGCAAACTAATGCGAGGAATCACAGTCGTGGAATGAAACCAGCTTAAAACATCGACGACAAAATAATCCACTCATGGCTCACACTGTTTTTGTATAAACTTATCTTCTGACATATGAAAAACTTGAAACTGAAATTGAACTGAAATTCAGAAATACACGTTGTGGCGAACCTGTTAAGAAATCCACCGCTGCACAGATCCGCGTCTGCAAAAAGGGTTTCGCAATCAAATGAGCTGAGATGTACCACGATTGATTTCATGCTCATTTCACTTTAGTAGTTTCCTATTCACACTTAAATATATGAATTAATCATTTGCGCGGAAGGCTGATGTATGACTTGTTTGATAGACCTTCCAATAAAACCCGAGAAACTCGCATCACTGCGTTTCTATCAGATTGTCGTCACGGGTAATCGTTAGAGCACTTGGAATTAGAGGCAGATTCGTCGCCTTGCCATTCTTTTGCTGTCTTGCAAATATTTGTCGGATTTATTCTCTGCTTAGGTGACTCCTTTGGGGGCACTAATCACCTGTTACACATTGGATTTTGCGAGGCAAGGAGTAAACCAGGACGTGCTAACTGCAAACCATTAGTGAGAATGGATGTCCATCAATACTTGGCATTCATACTTATACTTTGAAATTTAGTTAATAGTTAACGGAAGCCAAGCCACTTGGTAATACTTCAAATGCCACT